AAATTTAATAAAAAAATAATATTTATTTTAAATTATATAATTTATAAAATAAATTAATAAGTATTGTTAATATTATAATTTTTTTTATTTTATAATTAAAAATTATTTATAAAAGTAATATTTAATAAAAATTTAAAATTTATATTAAAATTTTAGCAAATTTTATTTGTAAGATTAAAAATAAAATTAATAATATTAATTAATTATTATTTATAAATAAATGGATAAATTAAAAAAAAAAATTAAAATATTAAAATAATTATAAAATATTATTACGCCGTATTTTAAAAATTATAAATTAATATTATTTTAATTTTATAACATAATTTTAATAATATAAAATTATTAATATTATAATATAGTTTAAATAAAATCGTATACAAATTTAAACTAAAAACCGTAATTTTAATAATAAAATTATTAAATAATTTTATTAATTTTAATATTTTAAAAAAATTATATTAAAAAAAAATAAAAACTATAATAAATTTTGCTATAATTAACGTAAAAATAAAATATAATAAAATTTATAAACCGGTTAATTAAAAGGTTAAAAATACGGTATATTTTAAATTATATAAAAAATATAATTTCTTAAGAAAATTTCTAAAAAAATAATTTATTTAACAGGTTAACCTATTAATAATATTAAAACATATTAAGGATTTAACATACAAATTAAATATTTTTAACCATTAAAAAATATATAAAGTTATATTAATAATTTAATTTTATAAAATTTTATAAAGAATAAATTTATATAATAAATAAAAACCTTAAATTAAACGCATTATAATCAAAGGTAATAATAACAAATAATTATTTTATAAAATTAAGAAATTTTTAAAAAAACGGATAAATAAGTAAAATATATTGATATTAAAATATTTTATGTAATAAAAAAGATATATCTTAATGTATAATTAATAATACGTTAAAAAATTATTAATATAAAATATAATAAAATTAATTAACCAATTTAATAAAATAAATAAGTTAATATTAAAAGAATTAAAATTATGTAAAAAGATTAATAAAAATAAAAATAAAGAATAAAAATTGGTAAAAAAAATATTAAAAATAAACGTTAAAATAAAGTTAAATATTAAGTTAATAATATAATTACTAATATAATTACCAATTATATCGTTATAGTTACCAACTATACCATTACAGTTAATTATATTAATAATAACATTTATAATTTTAAAGATTAAAATAATATAATTTTTGGAATTAAATTTAAATACGGATAAACAAAATAAAATTATTTTCGATACAAATAAATGGAGTAAAATTAGTTTTAATATAAAAAAACAAAGTAAAATTAAACCTAATATAAATAAATAAAGTAAAATTAATCCTAACACTTAATTGGTTTAAAATTTAATTCCAAATTAAAACATTGGTTTAAAAATTAATTTTTAAATTGGAATAAATATAATTAATTTAAATAAATGCGGTTAATTTAAAAAATTAAAACTTATTAAGCAATTATAAAAGAAATTCTTCCCATTAATATTATTAAAAATATTTTTTCTTCTCTTATATTATCTTTTAAATTTAATATAATAAAGATATTACCTAAAAATATTAATATTACTTAAAAATATTAATATTATTGTTATAAATTTTAAAAATATAATTTTTATATTATAAATTTATATATTTTTATTTAATTATATTTTTAAAAATAAAATTATTATATATTTATAATTATATTTTAATTATATTACTAATTAATATAAATCTTAAAACCGAGATATTTAAGGTTAAAGTATTTTAAAGATTTAACTAAAATAAATATTAACTTAATCCAATAATAACCTAAAATATTATTAACTTAAACAATATCAAAATATTAAAATAATATAGAAAATTATTATCCAAAAAAGTATATTATTAAAGGCAAATAATTACATTATTAAAACAAATAATCTTTAATTAAAATATTTATTTTATAATAATAAAAAAATACTTTTATTTTAAAGGAAAATAAATTAAAAATCCGGAAATATATTAAATTAAAATAATATACATTATAAAATTAAAAAAATAGTTTAATTTAAAAAAAGTTATTAATATATTAGTAAAATTTAATTTTTACAATTAATTAAATAACGGTTTATTATATTGTAAAATAATGGTAAAATTGTAAAAAATTTATATAATTAAATTAAAAAGTAATTAAGATTTTAAATAATATAAAAAAATTTTATTATATATTTTAATTAAAAAATATTTTAAAATTATATAAATAAACGGAAATTTTTTATTAAAATTTAATAAATTATTAAATAATATTACAGAAATATTGTTAATATTAAGATTAATATAAATTATATAATTTTTAAAACATTAAAAAGTTTTTATATTTTAATAATAAATAAAAAAGTAGGAAAAAGTATTAAAAGTATAATTATATAAAAATGCGGTAAAATTTATACTTGATATTTATAACGCTAATACCTTTATATTTATTATTAAAAACAATAAAAAGATTAATAATAAAAATATTACGGTAAATAACAAAAATAATAATATCGAAAATGTAAAAATATAAATGGAAAATATTAAAAACACTATTAATAATATATTAAAAAAAATTTTATAAAATTAATAATAAATAAAATAAATATATATAAATTAAGTTAAAAAATTAAGCAAATTTAAAAAAGTTTTTAATTTTTTACATAAATAATTAAATAATTTAAAATATAGAATTTTTTAATGGAAAAAAAATATTTAATAATTTATAAAAGTTATGTAATTAATAAAAATACCAAATAAAATATAAAAATATAATTAATTAAAATAAATAATATATAATTTAAAAAAATTAAAGAAAAAAAAAGTATTAATTATATTTATAACTATATTAAAAAAATTAAAACTATTATTAAAAAAATTTAAAAATTATAAATTAATAATTAAAGAAAATAAAGCCGAAAATGTTAAAATATAAATAATATTTACAAATATATTAAAGAAATAATTACAAATTTTTTTACAATAATTTAAACTTAATAAAAAGCTTTAAAATGCGATGAATTAACATAATAAAATGTAATAAATTAATATGATAAATTGGTACAATAAAATGTAATAAATTAATATAATAAATTAACGATGTAACGAATGCGGTGGATTAACGATATAATAAAAAAATGCAATATATTTATAATAAATTAAATTAATAAAAATATTAAAAACTTTTTTATAAAAAGGTTATTAATAAATATTATTACTATAATAATTTATATAAATTATTAAATAAACTATTATATTTATTTTATTTATACGTTAATTATATTATTAAAATAACTTATAAAAAAGATTTTTTCTTTTTTTTTTTAATTTATTAAATTTTACATTAAACAAGACTTTACATTAATATATATATAAAAAAAAGATAAAATATATATATAAAATAATTTAATTAAATAAAATAGTTTTTAAAATTTATTATTATTTTTTAAATTTATATTAATTTCATTTTTAAAATTATAATTGTTAAACTTATAAATTTTTATAAAGTTATTAATATTATATATTATTTTTAAATAATTAAAAAATTTATTATTATTTTTTATTTATTTAACTTTTTTATTAAAACTTTTAAACTACATTAAACGAAAAATATTATTAAAATTAATAAAAACGGTAATTAATTTATTTTTTTTTATTTATATATTAATTACGCAAATTATAATATTTTTATTAATTTTATTTAAATATATTTAATTTAATATTTTTATTATTTTATAATAATTTTCTTTTTTTTTAAATAAAATTTTTTTAATTTTTACAAATAATAAAATAACGTTATTTAAGTTTTTTTTAACTAAAATACTATTAGTTTTTTATTTTTTTCAATATATAATATAAAGTAAGTAAAAAATATTATTATTATTTATAATATTTTTACGTTTTTTACGTTATTAAAATGTTTCGAATATTATTTATATAATTGGTAATTTATTATTAAAATTATTAAAAAAATTATTGGAATTTTAATTATTAATTATAATAATTATATTATAAGTTTTTTATTGTTTATTAATAATAATAATGGTAATTTTTAAATTAATAACTAAGTTATTAATAATTTTAATTTTATTTTTAAATACGTTTTTTATTAATTAACAATATTTTAAAAATTTTAAATAAAACGGTTTTATTTTAAAATATATTTATATTTATTAATAAATTATTTTAATAATGGTTAATAATAAAGGTATATTAATAATAAAATATAAATTTTATTAATAAATTTTAATTATTATTATTTAAATTTTTTTATTTTATTTAAAGTTATTTTATATTAAAAGTTAAAATTAAATAATAATTTTATTTTATAAATGTTTAAATTTATTTTTAATTTATTTATAAATAACGTTTACGGTAAAATGTTTTTTTAATAAAGTGGTTATTTATGTAAAAGATTTTTTTTTTAAATTATTAATAATTATCTTTATATCATTATTAATTTATTTGCAAAAAGTTTTAAAAGTTATTAAAATAAGGTTAAAGGTTTAATTAAAAGGTTTTATACGAGTAATTAACGTTTGTTAAAAATATATGGTTTAATTAAATATTATTTGGTTAAAGATTATTTAATTAAAAGTTATAAATATAATTTAATTCGAAAGAAAAAAGATTAATTAATTATTTTTAATAAAAAAATAAAGATTTATTAAAATTGTTATAATAATGTAAATATAATAAATTTAAATTATTGTAAATTTAATAAATTTTGGAAATTTAAAGAAAAATAATATATAATTTAACGTTTATATATAAATTTAAACTTTTTTAATTAATTAACGATGGTTTAAAATTAGTAAAATTAGTAAAATTAATTATTAAGGTTTTTTTTAAATTTAAAATCGGGTTTTAAAAATTTGTTAATTTTTAAAATTTAAATTAAAATATATAAAAGAAAAGTTAATACCAAAAAATTTTACAATATTTTACCATATATGGGTTTTTTAGGTTATATATATAAGTTAAATTTATAAGTATAAAACTATAAATATTTAATAGTTTATATATATTAAAGTTGGCGTTAATTTATCTAAATTATAATGGAGATCGCCTTATAATCGAGACACAATTCAGCCAATTTATGTGTTAGGGTTGGCACGAGCCATAAGTAAAGCACTGCTTACGGTCCCAAACAGCCTCTTAGCATCCCCTATATCTAAGTACGCGCTAGGTACTCACCTAGGTACGGGAAAGAAAGCTGTTCTCCAGCGCTTGATGATAATATGACCTTCCCACTATACAGAGGGAAACCAGAAGAGTTCCAACCCGAACCCTCAGGGTTAACGAAGTTGACGCTACATAGGTTAGGTATATATTAGTTATAGTCCTTGCAAAATCCAGGGGTAAAATGAGCCTACGTAACGGTTTTGCTCTCTCCGGCTTTAAGGGTGAAATCCTCTGGTAGGCGAACATCGACAGGAAGGTCTATGGGCTCCAACTCGTCGAACTTCTTCACTCTCCTTGATCCAGCATCGGAAAACCAACCGATAACCTCAATACCACCAGCGCTCTCCGTAGTAAAGCTGTAGCTGACATCACGGGCGCCATTATTTGTCACGGTAACTAGGTGGGATTCTTTGAAGTTCGCAGTGTCGTTCAGGTTGAATTTCTCGTAATCGACATCCGTGCTGTAGTTCACAACCTTGAAGCCGTTGACCAACCCGTTACCGACCTGCGCAACACTAGCAGTAAAGCCATAGTCCTGATCCGAACCGTCGAACCAAGGTAGAGCTGCTCCACTGGAGATAATCTTCCTGCGAAGGCTATGCGCGAAGCCTTTACCGTGGACACTGCGACCACCGAAAGCTCCGATGTAAAGAGCCGCGATACCAGCAACATACGGGGTCGCCATCGACGTCCCGCTCATGATTGCGTAGTCGCCGTCGAGGTAGGTACTAAATATATTACCACCAGGCGCAGCAATATCGGGCTTAAGATCCAGGTCATAAGAGGGTCCCCATTGCGTAAAGATGTCAGGCTTGTTGGCAAAGGGGTTTGCGTAGCCAATTGGGTTCTCCGGGTTCACAGAGAAATCTGCCGTCACGGTACCGTTATTCCTAACAGCGTCGATAAAAGCTTCTCCGATTTCCGCAACGACCAATGCGATAAGTGTCTCATCGTCGGTCGTTCCCGGCTGAATCAATGGACTCTCGTTGTTATAAAATAGCATATATTCCGCCCCCAGAGCAGCCAGATGGCCTTGTTTGATAGCGAACGTACAAGTACCACGCCTTACAATTGGTATTTTACCCGTCAGGTTCTGAGTGCCTTCAGGGTAAGGCTCGCATGCTTCCGCAGGATCGGAAGTATTGAAAGAAAGGGGTACGATGGGCCACCCCACCACTTTGGACGGGAAGTAAAAAGTTGAGGGGAGATAGCCGAGAGTGGTAGTATTGGTAACTCCGTCGACTGTGAAGTTGGCTCCGAAGGGGAATTCAGGGAACACCTCCGTCTCGACCGAAGCAACTGCAATGACATTAGTACCAGATGAACCAGTGCTTCCATAGAAAGGACCTTGGTCTCCAGAGTTTCCAGCTGCGATTGTAACAAGAATACCTTCGTCTACGAGACGAGAGGCTACTTCAGCCCAGGCATGAGTCGACCAGCCACCAGGAGAACCAATGCTAGCGGTTACGACATCTACCTCGTCATCATACGCTCGTAGAAATGCATCGATCAGTGTGGCGGTATCAGTATAGTCCTAAAGTCACCTATAAGTTAATTTCACATCTACCATTATATGTACCGATTTTTAAGACTTACAGTTCCGGGAAACACCTTGTACGAGTATAGAGTCGCTTCAGGAGCGACACCTGTCCACCTAGAGAAGCGTAAGACTAATGCACGGTATCCTCTGCATAGCTAGTTGTAAAAAAAAAAAAAAAGGGGGAGTACTCACGAATCGCCCTTTGCTGCGACAATTCCAGCGACATGAGTTCCGTGGCCGAAGACGTCAAGAGGATCGTCGTCGGGTTTCTTCTCCTCGCTAGGCCAATCTAGATTTTACGTCAATTTTGCAGTTAACAGGTACTCCGGGCATTTTAATTCTTCCTACCGTCACCCACGAAGTCGTATCCACCGGCTACTTTGAAGCCAGGGCCAAAGCCACCACCGAGCTAATCAATTATTAGCCATGAACGGACCTAGACTTGAGCGGATAGAAGCTATTGACTTACAGCTGTGTGGTTATACCTTAGCCAACTGGTCAGCATTACACCTAAGTGACATTTAGGAGACAAGGAGCAAATACTTACCACGTTCCAGAGTCAACAATTCCAACCTTTGCACCTTTGCCATAGATACCGACTTCGTGAAGCTTACTCACCCCAGTGACGTTGTGGGTAGTATAGTTGAAGTTAGTTGGAAGACCATCGAGGACTTTTGGCTCGGCTGGGTTCAGATAGACCCTCTCGTTCGGCCAAACGCGCAGTACGCCAGGCATTCCCTCGAGCTTATTAATGCTGTAAGAGTCGGTTTCGATGCTAACACCGGAGAAGACGGGGCTGTTGAAAGATTTAACAATCTTGATGCCCTCAGCGGAAGCAAGCCCATCTCGTCTATTTACTTGGCCCTTGAAGTGCAATGGTTAGTTCAGAGATCTGCAGGTATTATATAGTATCGTAACTTTAATGGGATAACCCACAGGTGCATATTCGACGATAAAGCTCTTCGAGATACGAGCGGCATTCGCGGTGTTATCAGCCCTACGGTTCAGAGCGGCGGCACCCCCGGAGAGGGCCAAAGCAAGGCTTAGGAAACGCATCTTCCGCCTCAGTCACGACGTGCGAGGATACCACTAAACTAGATCTCTCACATAGTAGGCCACGCGACCATGATATCGTTTATATGTAATTACAGCTCTATTCGCGGTCTACTATACCGAGCTTAGAATCATCCTCTTCTATGCGACCACAATTCATTATACGAGGTTTGCCCCACAAAGGTGTTCTGATAGGATTCCGGGTATCTATAATGCCTAGTGTAATGAGACGATGTCACTGTGAAGATCACGGCTTAAAGACGGAAAAGGTCTGCATAGAAGGTCAACTACCAATTTGAGCAAGGTTGACCATTACTATCCGCGCCAAGACGTTGCGTTAATGCAGGGGTTGATCTCGTTAAAGCTCGTGTAATGACAATCCACTATATGGCATGTTCGAGAGAAAGCAATTCGTTACTAGGCTCATCGAGGGTTCTGTTAGCAATCAAGACTATATTTACGAGAGCCTGGATGCCGTTAAGAAAGAGGAATTCCCTAAGGACGAGGATACGAGGATTGGTATTAATCTGATATGTTTACTACCCGGGTCTAAATCACATTGCGAGCTCAATTATCTGATGAAGCTACCTACAAAGATCCCTTACATGGGTAGAGCTATGTGTAAAAGAATTATACGAAGAGGTAGATCTTGGTTTAATGCGCTATGGTGGTATAAAGGCTTTACTCTAGTGCATAGCAATAGGAAGATACCAAATACACAACTTTGGCTCTTGATGAGTTATATCGCGATATCATAAAGTACCTAATGCTTCCAAACTACTTATATTAAAGAGTTACCAATTACACACGATCCTTAGCAAGTATTTCCCCCATACCCCCTATTACGGAATAGATAGATGTAAACATGTAAGAGTAGTAAGATACATAAAATCTAGGCTGGATAACTATCCGGCGCTTAGAAACATCAAAAAGGCGCCTGTTGGGTTGGGAAGGCTCTCTGCTTTGTTTTTCTTATACTATATGAGTCGATTGAAAGGTTCCTTCAGCCGTAACAAGCTTCCACTAACAGTAAAATGAATATATTTTACTTTTCGAAAATATTGTTCTTAAGTATGCGTATTCCGGAGTGCTAGAAACATTTCCAGCTGGTTCTTATGTATTCAGAGCTCCGATTCTACTAGAGAATCCGGATTATACTGTCCCTATAACAAGATATTAATAATTACTTCTTTGGGCGAGAAATCTAGGGGCCAAGGCACGTCTCTGGAGCAATAACTCCTTAGTCATTCTGATACGGAAATATTGGTTCCAGAGACTAGCTAAAGGGGGTGAGGGGAGCTCTCGATGTTACGTACGAAGTTGTCTCTAAATTGGGCCAATGTGTGGCCAGGTGGTAGTTTGACGGCTTCCGTGAGCCAGTAGCTGCGTTCTTTTTCCAACTCATCGTGTTGGATTCCTGGCAAGAGATACAAATACGCAAGGACGATATTTCCGCATAGCCACAGTATAGACCGGGTCGAAGAAGATAACCAATCATACTCCTGTCCCCAAATATACACCCAAGTGTAGGAGATTCTGATTGCAAGGTAGAGAAGTGAGAGTAAATTGCGAGTTTCAAGGTCTACCTGCTCTACATTGGCAGCGAGAACTGCGACAGCGAACAGTGGTAGATTTTCGAATGCGTTATTCAAAGCATTTTCGGAACGCTCTATGCGCGCTACAGTCTGAAATATCATTAGCATCGAATACAAGCAGCTTCCATCAGTTATAGAGAATTACGGTCTCTACAATTAACGAGACATACCAAAGTGTTCAGTGCTACCGACTTTCTAGCAGATGCCACAAATCTACGAGGATTCTTAGGGTCGTAAACTCGGCTTCCAGATCCAAGGATCCCAAAGTATATCCGTGGAAATAAAGCTAGTACAAAGGCAAAAGGGACCTTTTTCTCTATTAGTTCATTTTCTGAGGATGAATGGCATTTACGTACGGTCCACCACGAAATATTATTCTCCCTGAGATAATCCATGCTAACTTATCGCTAATCCAGCTACGGTATACTCGAAGTTGGTCTATTAGATTGGAAGTAGTGCTAATTGATGTTCATCTAGAAAGCTGCTGAAGTAGATAGCTTGAAGTTAACTAGAAAATTACTTACCATACTTGTATATTGGATAGTTGAAAAGCGACTATATATCAAGGAGTCGAGATAGATGATAGCTTGATAACTCAAACCGGACATCTTCACTAAAAGGCACTTCTGAATGCGGCATGAGAATTGTTGATGAGGCTACGGCTCTGTCGTCATTTAGACAAAGGGAGTGACATCAAGACTGAGTAAGTCTAACAGCTTCTCGTCACGATGTATACTTCAATCGATCGTTACCTGCTATACAATGAGCTCAGATGATGCAATTACCTACCCCTACGAGACGGGGCAGATAGAATGGGATGATTAAGGGGCTATTCAGAAACTATCCAGGGGTAACAAGATTTGAACAAATAATATCATAGACAATAGCATAAATTCAACCTTGACTAAGTAAACGCTAATTTCGAATTGATCTTATCCCGGACGATTAAGTAAAGAGAAGCGTAACATTACTTCTAACGCCTATATTAGGTCCCCTTATATGGTATATTCTGAGGGATATTCCAAGCTTTAGATGTCTTAACAGGAAAAGAGAACTCTGCCTCAAATCAAAGAGTCAACTGGCGCCAGTTAGACGACGACACCATACTTGGCAGTCATCAGGAATTTAATTACTAATATCAACTATGACGCACATATCTCGTAATAGCCGCATTAATGCCACACTGTCGTTAATAAATACAAGAACGAAACCGTCTAGGCTTCCGTTAGGAATGACGTACCCGACGCCGCGCGATTCACGATTCCTGCTGGACGACGAGGAGTTTAACCTCCTATTTAGGAAGATTTCATACTTCATCTGCTGTAATCACTTGTCCTTAGGTACCTAAGCCACAGACAATCCTTAGTGTCACTGGGCTTTATTAGTCCTGTCAGCTCAAATCAGAATATCAATCATATGACCCTAACTTGAATGAATGAACATGGTCCCGAAAATGAGGTCAACACACCTCGTCCACGGGGCTCGGCTAACTTGGATTATGTCATCTTGATTTAATCGTTAAGCGCTATCAATGACGCTGTCCCCATACCCCACCAAGCCTTAGGTTAGGTACCTTATCGGCTTTAGCAGGCTACTGTAGCTTGCCGGCAGCTCTCGGAACGGCCGCGTCGCCCCGAACCACCTAACCTAGATTTCACCCTTCATTTCGTTGGTGCGCTTCACCCCTATTTAGCTTCATTGCATACCTGTAGGTTAGGTGTTCTTTTATTATTATTTGCCAATCATATCGTGTGGATTGGGAATTCCTAGAATTGCAGTCTACTCAACGAATGCGCCAAGCGGGGTACATTTTGACTACATGTAGCCATCTATGATCACAAGCAGCCGTCGGGATGTCAAGTACATGTATCAGTGAGCGAGCGGACTAACACGTCGAGATCGGACGAACTTGAACAATAATTAAATCATAAAGGTTGAAATGGGCGTCTCGATAGTAAATCCGTAACACAGACGAGCTGCGATATGGTCTGAAAACGGACATACCGAGCTATATATGTACACGCAGCAGCGCGAAGCCGCAATTCATCTCTCTAGACACCTCCCCCCCCTTATCACCTACAGAGACAGGCACATGGGCTTTCTGATTTGGCCATGTCGTCTTATCGCAAAGCCATGCAGGACCGGGCATGTGGAGGCGGGGCCATACTTACATAGCGCATACATAGTAAAGTCTATTTGCCGATCTCTCAAGGCATAGAGCAGAGTAAGTGAAGGTAATAAGTGAGACACTGCATCCTGCATGATAGGCAGATTGCCTCGCAGGCAACAAATACCATGCATCCGAAAAACGGGATAGCAATAAGAGGTGTACACTATTGTTGCACACATAGTCGGGAATCGTCTATTTCATTAATAATAGGAGAGTACCTAGGCTGTGCCTTGGACTAAGGAACGTGATATGTCTCGAGTCCATCGACTGGAGCGAACTAGTGTTTGGACGGGGTCATACAAAAGACAGGCCGATTAGCAAATGACATGGCAGAGCTGGAAGCACGAGATGAAGGTGAAGCAAGGTCGAGCTTTGTATGAGGTACTGCCTAGTACAGCCCGGTAATGTTAGGAGTTAGGTAGGAACTGAGAGATCCTCCAGAACCTCTTGGAACAGGTCGATTTCGAATAGCCGCCTAGATTCGTCACACACCTATGTAAATGTGAACAAGAAGTTCTTCGATCAATCAAATCCTTTCTTAGCAAAACGCTGGAAGGTCACCAGCTCGCTCTAATAATAGGCATGTACTTCGTAGAAGATAATCTACATAGAAATTGCTGATACGCGATCGGAGGTTTAGGAACGGTACCTAGGTTCATATGTACCTAAGTACCTTGTTGTCACACGCACACTCAACCCATGAAAGGGCCATGTAATAATGAATAAGGCTCCCGTTCTCGACTTCCCATACCTTCAAAGCAGCCAACAGATGAACAAGAAAGGTCGATGGATTGTAGTAAAGCTAATAACATATTACCTAGGTAGTAACCTAATCTAGTAACTTCCATATTACTTAGTGTACCTCTGTGTAAATTCAATGTTGCATACCACGCGCTAAGTCTAACTAAGACCACGATAAGGACATAGCTGGAGATGACTGAGAAGGTACCTACCTTAGGTACCTCTATATGAGGTATCCTCCTTATTAAACCTAGGGATGGGTTTTATGCGCATAATTGATCAATTATGCGATATTATACGTATAATGCGTTAAATGCGTATAATACGCATTTTATAATTGAATAATTATATAATCAATATATAAATTTTTTTTAGCTTTAACCACATAGATTTTTACAATCATAACAACACTTATTTTGGCCTCGAAAATCAACAATTCAGGCTAAAATGCGACCGAAAAATAACCTCACGTGTAGCCAATTCGAGGAGATCAATTAAGGCAATTCGTTGAAATCCAACGTAAAATAGCCTTAGACACGATGTTTCATTACTAGCATTATCCCAATGTAAGACTAGCGTGCCGGATAAAAGGGGTCCGCTTTCCGATTATGCGCATAATTCATCAATTATGCAGTATTATATAATATTATACGGTATTATACGCTAGTGATATTATATTTTTCCCATCCCTAATTAAACCTCATAATTCCCTCTCCCATTTAATGATTCTCGTCTTTTCTTCCCTCTTGCTCTCAGTAGACCTCTCAACTTCCCCGGTAATTTCGAACTCGATATTAGATTTGTTCTGTTTCGATTTTGCATCGTCCAAACTCGTTGTTTGTCTTATCTATACTTGATAAGTACTTCGCTCCACGCTGCGTCATCGTTCCCATCAAGGCTAAGCAGTCTGTTGGTATCGGGTATCGGGTATCGATAACGACAACGACTAACCCGCAATCGCAACTGAGCCATCGCATCATTATCGCGGTGTACCCCTTTGGCCGTGGCCCCCTTATCCTAACTGAGTCACCCGGCCTTTGTCTTGCTCGAGCCTTTCCCGACTCTGACATCGCAAGAAACGAATAAGCCACGCTTTCCCGTCACTTGAACGGCAACCCACCTGCTTACCTTCCTCCCGTGCTTCTTTCACTACTGTACCGTCATACAGAGACAAAGCAACTTCTCAACTCGCAAACAGCGAAGAAACACAAGACCTACCACCATCTTACCTAATCGTCATCCGTCCGTCGTGACTCAGTCATCTCCCAGGTCTCTTGTTTTCCAGAAAGCACTGAGCCATCCATTCTCTTGACATACTTCCATCCTGCTCTTGAACCTACGAATAGCCATTCTTCCATTATCCGGTATTCATTGTTCATCAAATACCCTCCGCCCCTGTATCATCGCTTTCGCCTTAAATCTATAATCCTCGCACGTCGACACCGTCGTCAACCCTTAAATACCAAGTTCTTTCTCTTTCAAGACACTCCCAATAAACCACCTTCCTCGGGGATAGACCTACTCCAGACGGTAGCCTACATCCCATCACAAGCAACTTTATAATATACCACTCGTTGTTGACTATCGTATCCGCACGATCAAATCGCCTTCCATCATGGCTTTCGACCAAGCCCGAGACCTCCGAAGCTTTGCTCAAGACTCGAAGCGGTTCAAGGAGCGCGTAGAAAAGTGGTCGCGGGGATCTCGACCCTCGGCTGGGTGCAAGTACAGCTGGGTAGAAGATGCAATCATCACAGGGAGCGAAAGCCAACGTGAGAAACTTCGGCCTGAGGGAACTCTCCAGTAAGTCATAATCAGTAACCGTGTATCATGCGCCCTGTAATCCAATATTAACAAATCAGCCACTCCAATCGCTTAGCAAGCCAGAACATCGTCAAACCGCGTGATAAGGAACGATACCAACTCCGATCGAGCTACTCGCGTGCCAAGATAGACGCATTAGAAGAACTACACGACCCGTCCAATGTCTCGCGATCCCTCTATGATCTCTTACCATCATCTCAGACCCGACGAGGCTCTAGTATTTCGGATAACGTCCTTTACAGCTTCGATAGGGTTGAAAGTCCGGGCAAACCACTAACGCTGGACGTATTCGTGAAGACCAACCCGAAGGAGACGGAAAAATTCGTGGAAAAGGAGTACGAAATCCTTGACAACAATGGGGATGCTCTCAGGGGTCGAAAGGCCCGGCAGAATCTCCGTCGAAGGAACCACACACCAGCGGCACAGGAATCTGACATCATTGAAGACGACGGCTTCGAACTCGTATAAAGGATATCTCGACTCGCTTCTAGATCGTATGGCCGGCTTCGTGGTGCTCTGGCTGCATCCGTTATTCTTTTTCTCGGCATGGCTTGTTGTCCTTCTTCGTTCGCATTCTACCTATTCGCAGTTTAGGACAAACAGTACGGCGCAGCGCCTTTGTACCGTATGGTGGAAGGCTTCTTGGTAATACTCGATACGACCGATATGATTCTCTTCTTTTTTTCTGTCGCAAGAGCTGTGGCATTAGACTTCTAATATGGCTTCGTTGTTGCCCAAGCATGCATATTTCAGATGGCAACGGACCATTGTTTGTTTCATGCATATCCTACCTAGACATCCATTAGGCGGTGTTGAGCTTAACTCTAACCATCGGATGTGATGGTCGGAGAAGGATGGCTCGGCGCATTGTATTGTATATTCTTTTTTTGATTCGATTAATGGATGGACTGGTTCATGGAATTATCGTGCGAAAGGACGTCCAAGTGGCAGAATGGCTTGTCTCTCTCAGTGCGCGGAGTATAATGCGTTGTATGAGATATCATTTTTAATACCAATACATGCCGCTTGCATTTCCTTTCACTTCAGACTTGCGAATGATGTTCGAAATCTATAAGTCGATTTTTTTGCGCGAGGGTGAAGTGTGCTGCTTATTGAAGTGACAATATTTTGAAAGAATTGTTAAAACTGTGTGTATGTGATTGTGGCCCGTGCGACCTTACATTAGGTAAGGTACCTTAGGTATGTAAAGCACGTGCTATGCTACAACATCCGATCTGGCTTCCTACAGATAAGATACATCACCTATGTATATCTGCGCATGTTGGTGTTAGGTTGCTTCAACAGAAGGCAGATGCAGGTAGAGTACCTAACATTGGATGTAGGTAGGCTAGGTACATTTATAAAAAGAACATTGCTTTCAAACAGAGATGCCTTTAGTTGGCTTTCATCTAAGTGAGCTTTTTCAACATCAAGTTGGAATCACATATAAATTTACAATCTCATTCTCCCTACCATCGGCTTGCTTGTTGTTTTACTGAAATCCTCCTCAAGCAACGCCCATCTACACTCATCTACACTCATCTACACTCATCATGTGGCAACAGTTCTGCTTAGTGGCGCCTCGTGCCCGAAAATATCGGCATTTCAGAGCCAATCTTGAGCAGATATTATTTGAACGTGATTTGATCGAAAAACTCGAAGACCTCGTCTATCTCCTTGCCGTGCCCCTCAAGTCGCACCAGCGTACAATCTCCTCTTCGGTTTACACCTCCCAATATACCAATATGAACAATTCTCCTATAGGGATATTTCGTTTGCCTCGCGAAATCCACCTCAAAATATTTGCCGAACTTGCTGATGCTAGAGATTGTACTACACTTGGCCTCACCAGCGTATATTTCTGGAGTCTCGCACTCCCGGTCCTCCACGACAAATGGGCCGCATATTTGGGTCCTTGGGCAGGAGAGAAAATCGTCTGCGTTGGAGATTTGGTCAAGGCCAATGATTACCCCCCTGGACTTTTCTCAGATGCTGAGATCCTCTCCTTCGACCAGCCTGAGATAAGAGCAGCCCTTGATCTTGGTAGTTTCTTTGACGAACCTAAGCCTGTAACATTATATGACTTCAGCGTTTTCGTCATGGGCCGCCATCAACGCCTTGGAACTATATGGAAGGGCACAGAAGAAACAGAACTTCTCATACGATGCATCAACAGTTTCGCCGACCATAGCTTGGTATTCAACGGACCACCAAAACATGACTTCAAGAACTTTAAAGAGCACTGTTTCTATCCACGGGATCAACCGTGGGTCCTCCGTAACTTAACGACCAAGGAGTTCGTTCGATCCGAGGCTATCGCTCTGAAGCCAGAGTTCATACAGGGGCCAAGAATTCGAGGCATAGGCTTCCCACACGTCATCTTATCTCGCATCTGCTGGTCATCAGTGCCAAATGCCGATATAGGAGGCTTAACGGAGATCACGAGAGGAGTTTGGGCAGGACATTGTTTTGATATCACGCAGCTCTCAAAACATATCGAGATGACTCGGGGAGAAACGTGGATCGATGTAAGCAGCGAAGTGATGGATGATATTTCTCGCATCTGGGAGCGCAAGTATGGACCTGATTGGCAAGAGCGCGTTATCGAGAACATAGAGCGGTAGAGAATCGTCTCGGGCCTGGAAATATCTGATGACCTATGATTGCAAATCTTCCAGTTACGAGTTGCTAGGCTCCTATAGATTGTGTTGGCTTCATTGGCAAAGTCATCTTTTGTTACATCGTCTTCATATAGATCGGGGACCTAAATTTAATAGGCTACTCCCTCCCTACGAATATATGTTTCCTAGGCTTGAGAAGGATTTCAGGGGGGCCAAAATGAACGTAAGTAGGGTTAAACACGTAGTAAGTCCCCACCACAAAATATAGCCATGGCAAGTAGTACTGTCCGGTCTTTTAATCATAGTGAAAAGAGTCTACTGAAATGAAACGTACACATTTCAGTTTTTACCACGCACGACCTCAACCGTCAAGTTATCAGGCCAGACAGGCTCATCCACGCCATTCCCACGCGTGCCGATATGGTATCCCAGATCGACAGCCCCATCAGCAAATTGTGCGACGGGCTTGACTTGGATGAACGTAGCCCCTATATTCTTCGCTTCCCGCTCTTGAAAAAAGGCAGGGTTAAAAAGCACCTGGGAATCGTGCTGATATAGCAACTTTAGTATTGCCGGCAGTAAGTGTGGCATTGCATGATAATGGCGGAATACTGGTGACCCATGTCTCTTCCACACTTCGTTCCATGTCTCGTCGTCGTAGGTCCCGACGGAACGGACTAGCCATTGGGAGTAATAGTTGAGTGCTACCTGATAGAGGAGAGAACTGGTAAGCAGCAAGGATGTAGCCGGGAGAAAGGGAACAGAGAGAGGAAGAATCAACTTACGTCGACACCATAACTACCTCCATGTTCAGCTCGTCGAACGAGCGCTTCTAAAACGGCGGTACTCCCACAGATACCGGTACTATAATATATCAGCATAATCTTATCATAGGGAGACTTCATAGGCCAGGTTGGTCGTACTTACCAGTAGTCTGAATTCGGGAACACCGGTGTTACTGGTTCATCGTTACCCATGGCTCTGCCATACGACATCGAAACACCGCAGCACTATATTGATTAGAGTGTAAGTAACACTGACAAGTCGGATTCAAAGCCATCATGCCAAGTACATACCGCATCACTAATCTGCTGCCAACCGCTCCGGTGGGCCCAAGGACCATGCCAGCCGTAGCAATTCTCCCGAACGACAATAATACCACGGGAGCGATCCTTAACCATATCGAAGATGGCCTGGCGCCCGAACCCAAGCCTCTCCATAACGCCCGGCCGATACCCGTCAACAACAACATCAGCCTCCCGGATCAGCGCTCTGAGCTTCTCCTTACCCACCTCATCTTTCAGGTCCAGGAAGCAGTTCCACTTGCCCCAGTTGAGATCCTGGTGCAGGACAGACATATCCGTGACGTTAGGCGACGTGACGCGCATCACGCTAGCGCCCATCTCCGCAAGCGAGCGCGCGATCGTGGGTCCGGCAATGACGCGGGCCAAGTCGACGACTTTGAGGCCGGCGAGCGGCCGCGTCGCAGAGGACGGGTAGCTCGCGTTGTCGGGCCACCATGCCGCTGGCTGCGAGGAATTGGGGTCCTTGGTCGTTTCGTAGAGCCCGATTTTCCCGGACGCCTGGCCGTGCTCGCTTGCGAAGTACTCGTCGGACGTCCATGCGATTGTGCCCGCTTGGCGGTACTGCTCGTTCATGAGCTCATCTAGCGCGGTAGAATCGAACTGTGAAACGACGCCCTGAATCCTCTCCACCGCGGAGTCGTATGTATCATTCTCTTCCCCATTGAGTGGTAGCCCCAGTGCTGTAAGTGTAGGGTTGGGGTTCATACTACCTAAACAATGCTTGCGCTGTAAGTAAACATTCAAGCTAAACACCGAGATAAGGCTATTCCAAGTGTATCCCTACCGTGTATGTGGTAGAATCGCCCGTCTTTCGTCTTGTAGATGTTTGTGGCGAGAGTCCTATGTTGAGAACCCGCAGCCCTATGCAGGTCACGGTTAGGGAACCATTCCGAAATTTCTTTTGAGAACGGGTTCATCTGCACTGGGCTGCCGTCTTTGACGACGCATGCAACGAATGGGGACATGAAAAAAAGCGAAGCATGGTCCCTATCGATGAGTTTTAGCTACCCTGTATTCCCCCCTATTTATATAATATAATAAGGGATACCACTTACGTGTTTATACTGACGTTAGAAGGCGCGACATTATATTTCTTAGTGATAAGATAGTTGAGCATAGTTGCTTCGAAAGCCTTCATCGCCGAGATGCTCTCGGCGAACCGCCAATTAATGGGGATACTGGGCTTGTCGGATCCTTCAAACTGAACGGTTTTGCTCAACGAGTGCAACTCCTGTGGCAGACCTTTCATTAAGGGGTTATTGAGGATGCCATCTTGGAAGAGTCTTTGAGTCTCTTGAGGCACTGAGTAACCTATGGAGCTCATAGTTCACAAAAGGCGTATATATAGAAGCTTGATTAGTGTATGGGCTGAATATTGTGGTTTCGCAGTATCTTGTGATATGAAGAGGCAATTAGCCAACCTATATAGTTATTCACATTTATAAGAGAGTTCTGAATTCGCAATTCGGGATGGAATGATTCCGGTGCCCTTATTTTCAATAAATAGTAGAACTTGTTCTGATTTCCTTTTTAGTGACGGGGCTATAGCACGGCGTTCGGGGGGTCGGACGCGGGATTCGAAAGACAGGTATAGACCGCTAATTTGACTGCGGTAACTATTCCAACTCCTAGAATCGGAGCCACACGCTAGCCAAGGATTAACTGCAACCCGTATAGAAAATGATTCGTTTACTGAGTTGTGAGTTGAACTTAGTAACATAATAAATAAACTACTTAACCCCCCTAAATGATATAGTAATATCATAGTGTCAAGTATATACTATGTATATAAGAGTAAATGTGACGAGATGTGTGCTATGTCATATTCCAACTCAGAAGAAGGCTATTGTCGAACAAACTGCTATACCACTAAAAGGTTATTTGGTAACAGAATTTATTATATTACATTTTAGATGTATCGGACAGATAGTAATATCTGACAGCTATTGCATCAATAGATACTGCCCATTCGGGTGCTGGGTCTGTGCCCTACGCACGGCCAGGGGATATAAATCATCTCAATGCTTCTTAACCTACTAGTTTACCCATCCTTCGTCGCGCATACCCATACTATATTACTAAGAGCAGAAGAAATGGCCAAAACGAACCAGGGCAACTAACAAGTTCATTAGTTAACCTATATACTCCAGTCATATACATACGCCGAAACCCCCAAGTTAACATGACTATCAATGCATTCCATTTATTCCCTTTTCTCCCTCCGGAAATCCGACACGAAGTGTTCCTCTTAGCTACACCGCGCCGCATCGTCCATGTTTCACAACTGCATGAAGACATAGATGACTTCCTCGAGCGGTTCAACGAATTAGTTCCAGGGCAGGTTAAACTACACCCATCCTTAACCTATTCTGCTCGGAACTGGCGCGAACGAATCTTGTCGTATAAAGATATTCGGTCGCAGAGGAAATTGGAGTTTTACGGGTTTACAACCTCGCGCCCAGCACAACATCCATGGGAACCCTCTCAGTTAACCCCCGAGATTCCTGTTCATTGGTTACTCGAACATCCCGACGTAGCATATGAGCTCCTCCGGAAGAGCTATATCTATAGCAAAGCACCTATTCCAGCGCTGCTCCATACGTGCGTAGAATCGCGACGCGTGTTAATCAGTGCTGGATACCAGCTTGCATTCGCGTCTCGTAACCACGGACCATGGACTTGGTTCAACTTCAAGAACGATGTGTTATGTCTCAAATATGATGGAATAACCAGATACGGTCTATTAGATAATGGCCCATGGGGCACTGGAAATTTTGATCCTCAGAGCTTACAACAAGTTCGAAACCTAGCGATAGATGCTGCACCCCCCCTTTTAACCTCAGGCCATGAATATAACCCGGAAGATAGCGCTTTGAGTACAATTCGATTACTACCTAAGCTTGAAAAGATATATGTCATTGAATGGGACTTATTACACTTCGACATTCACTTCGTCCGGAAATCGGCAAGGTCATCAACGCCAAACTCCCCAGATGCGGATACAGAACGAGACACAGTTTCATATGGGCGCGAAGCCTGGCGATTTATTCCCATTGAAGAAATTGACGCATTGTTCTCATTGACCGTTCAGTACCCTTACCGGTCCTCCTGGATCGGCTCTATGGGCTACGGTGCATGGCGCTTGGCGAATTTCAACGGACCTACTGGCGAATACTTCTCCTACGTAAGAGAGTACACCAAGAACTGTATCAGGGTTGATATGGAGAGTGTGGCGAAGGGAGAATCCGTAGCCCCCTATCAGGTACCCGAGGTTGAATTTGGGCATATCTGTACGGAAGCCGTGGCTAGACAGCTATTTGACGATCGTCAGGAAGTGTGGAGGCAGTACAAGTTGTTAATCAATGGAAAAGAGCCTCCTCGGCCCAGGCCGATGACACCAACTGATTTACGTTGGCAAGACGATTGGGAAGCGTTTAACGAAGCTCACTGTTCTTACGAGCTAGAAACGCATTCCGCAGGGTATTTGCTGAAGAATTGGAAAGTTCACCAGCCAAGAAGAGAACTGTTATTGGAGCCATGAATGCCAGCCACGTCCACTTGGTAAGGAGAAAGCCATGCCTCGTAGTTATATTGAGCGCCTTTGGATGAACAGCACCTACTCTTAGGTAACCTGGATATTACATTGCTACGGAGCAAAATTGTACTTGAATGCCATATTGCTTAGATACCACTAAACAAATCACCCGGATGGGGACATCGTAATGGGTTCGAAAAGGGGGTAATCATTAAGATACTAATTAATAATTTTTACATCATCTTGCAATTAATCTTATAGAAATTTTCGAGAAAAAAAGGCACTCTCTAAAACAAACTACAGTACCGGTCTGGTAGCGTGATGCATGTGGCAAAGATGAGGGCAAATCATATCGATGCTGTTTCTGAAATTATTTGATGAAGATGAGGGACCGTGAGGAGATGAGATGTGATTGATTGTTGCTGGTTATGATTGACAGTCAGATTCCCGTCATCGACCCCTTTTATGACACAAGTGTGCAGCTTTCGTAGGTAGTATAAGCCCCTTAACGAGCTCTTGATATAAAGGCATTGCAATCAAATCTACCGTGAAGTGCCGCTAAACGTTTATTTTATTAGATATATCAGATTTAGAAATATCATACAAAGTTAAATTGAAGCAGACACCAATATATCATGATGCCTTCGTAGGTGCTCCCACAGTAAGCTGAACTACTAAACGACTTCGTCGCTTTTCGATTTGACCAGATGTGTTAAACTAAGCTAGTAACACCTTACAGTACTGGCAACATTGCAGAAATCTCCGGTACCAAGATCGAGCCTCTTCAGTCCGAAGTTAAGTATAACACACTGTACGACGGGGCGGACCGCGGCTCGGCAGGTTCTAACCGCACCATCGACCAAACCCGAATCAAACCTCTCGGAGGCAAGGGTAAGTACGGTAGTCTTGGTAGTCTTGGTAGTCTTATAACTACAATTGATATTATGATGACTGACCCAATATTACGCCATTAGGTCAACACCAACACACTGCTTCACATGCCGACAGCCAAGGGGTAGTTGGAACGGTTGAGGGACTCGTCAAAGCAAAGATTGAGCCTCTGGCGGGTAGTGTAAATGAGTCGCAGAACCCAAGGACAGGTTTGGACGACGAAGCAGTGGACGCTTCAAGAATCCATCCGCTTGGCAGGGTTAGGGAGTAGTAGGGAAACTGATAGGCTATTCTAACTGCTGATACTAAGGATAAAGGGGCGGGAAGGTCTAAAAAATAAGACAAAGTAGAAATGATTTCTAAATGAGAGGAGAATGTAAGAAATGGGAAAAATACATTTGTGAAGGCATGTTTGAATAGTAAGAATTTTGAGTTGAGAATGATTCTCTTAAACAGTAACGAACTAAGCCAAATATTGTCTTACGAGAATAATCTTGTAACCATGATATTTACGTCGTTATCTCTTATCGCAACATCTAAAGTTCCAAGCTTCAACCTCTACCTTCCTCAAATCAACGAATATCCATACCCAACTCTATAAACATCCTATTGCTCCTTAGTAATTCATGCTCTTCTTTTTAGAGGGCCCATTATTTCACAAGCTCCCATAAAAGCACAGCCATATTTCCACGAAACCTCAATAAACGCATCCTAAACAACCACCACCACACCTCCTAACCTTCCCTTCCCTCCCCTAACCAACCACAATGCCATCAGATCTATCCAACTACCTCGCAACGCACTACCTCATCGCCGACCCCAAGCCCTCCAAGAAGCGCAAGCGCAAGCAAAAAGACGACTCCTCAGGCCTCATCATCGCCGACGAAACCGAATCCGGCTGGGCGCGCGCCAACCGCCGCGACGACGACGACGAAGACGAAAATGGCTCCGCAGTAGTAGCCGGGACCAGCGCCGAGTTCCGACGGGCGAAGAAGTCCGCGTGGAAAACCGTCGGCGGCAGCGCGTCCAGCAACACAGACTCCCAAACCCAAGCCCAAGCCCAAGACACCGAAACGGCAAGGGCAGCAGACGCCATCCTCGCCTCCGCCGCCGCCGAGACAGCCGCCGCCGCCGCCGACGAGGACGCGTCGGACGCCCCCGCGGTCATGATGTCAGACGGCACGCACGCGGGCCTGCAAAGCGCATCTGCCGTCGCCGCACAGCTCGAAGCGCGGCGGCGCGCCGAGAGGGAAGAATACGAGCGAGAGCGAGAGCGAGAGCGGGGCCATAAGAAGGGCAAAAGCGGCGAAGCAGAAACGATATACCGGGACGCGACGGGGCGACGCGTAGACGTGAGCATGAAGCGAGCAGAGCTACGACGGGAGGCAGCCGAGGCCGCGGCCCGCGAAGCCGCTAAGACGGAAGCCCTGCGCGGAGAAGTCCAGATCGAGGCGGCGCGGCGGCGGCGCGAAGAGCTCGAGGACGCGAAGGTTATGACTGTGGCGCGGCACGCGGACGATGAGGATATGAACCGCGAGATGAAGGAGCAGGTGCGGTGGGGTGATAGCATGGCGCGGTTTATAGAGCCTAAGGGGGCGGGAGACGGAGGTGGAGGTGGGAAGACGAGGAAGTTGAAGGGCAAGCCGATATACCAGGGCGCATGGACGCCGAATCGATACGGCATCCGGCCGGGGTATCGGTGGGATGGTGTCGATAGGGGGAACGGGTTTGAGGCAGAGAGGTTCAAGGCTATCAACAGACGGGAGAGGAACAAGGGCTTGGAATACTCGTGGCAGATGGACGAGTAATAAGCATTTACAAGGTAAATCTACGATCATGCACGGGATAGGGGATTACGATCAAGAGTTAAATTAGTAAGATACCAACTGTCTAAGGCAGTCAACACAGCAAGCCATAGCGCAACGCAAATTGTATAACCTAATATCTACGGATTCGCTTGTAGTCCATTTTTGTCGGCATGCCAGCCCTCGCGCAGAAATGAAATGATACGAGACCCTAAGGCATATTTGCAGGAAATCTAGGGGGCATACTATCTAACCTACTCCCTTTCCATAACGATCCTGTCTCCAGCAGCGGAGATAAACCCCCTCCCACCTCTCATTCACTATCGGCATAATGCCGCATCTAACGCAGAGATTCTTCCAAAGCTCTACAGCTTTGGGGTAACGATTTGGGGGCTGCAAAAATCATAAAATGTAATCCTGTTCAGTATAACACTTCCCGCAGATAAACTGTAGGGTAAGATTACCCCATCCCGGGGAGCGATCTAAGCCTTCCGGCGAAGTAGTTTCTCGGCTGTGTTGAAGTTGGCATTCTCTTTCACCAACTTAAGCCAGTCTTTCCTCTGCATAAACCCAGGTTTATCTAGACGATCCTGGAATTTCTTCAGGAGTAGGACAATAGTAATACCTTGAGGGAGCGGTGGTAGGGCATCGATAATCTCCTGGGCAGTGATAGGGTCTGCGATCCCTCCCGGTGTCGAGCTCTGAGCAGGAGCACTGGGAGAACCAGCTCGAGTACCACCTGATGACCCTTTGGTGGCAGCTCCTTGGGCCGGAGCGGGACTACCGGCTCGAGATCCGGCGGGGGTACCTATTGCGCTGTGCTTCCCACCTGCAGCTGACGGGCCAAGCCGCTTTTTCTTGCCTCCTGCACCGTCCGACATCTCACCAGCCGTGCCTTCACCATCGCTAGTAGAGCCGGCACCGGGCTTCCCGCGACGGGGTAATGGGGTATTTCCGCGACTATCATGTGTAGTCTTCTTCTTCTTCCGGATAGATTCAGTGCCACTGGAATCCGAACCCAGTGGAGACCCGGCTCGCTTGAGAGACTTGCCCTTCTTTGCTGCCTCGGCAGCTGCCTTTTTCCCTTGGGGGGTAGTGGTTCCCTTAGACGACACTCCGGCATCTTTGTCTTTATCCTTCTCAGCTTTTTTATCCTCATCATCCTTCTCGTTTTCAGAATCGGAATCTGACTCGTCCTACAGTTTGATTAATTTTGATTGACCAATTAGACTGACTAGCAAGTACTTACGTCTGAGGAAGCAAAAGGGTCCCTCTCTTTAGAGGAGTCGCTGTCGTACTGGAATTGTTTATCACGTCGCTTTAAAGCCTTCTTAAGGGATTTTCCGAAGAGCTTTCGCTCCAGCTCTTCCTTCTTCTCCTCATCTTCTTCTTTCTCGACCTTGACCTCGTCTGCGTCACCGAAAAGATTGGCATTGAGCTGGTCGCGGCGGATTCGAGTATTAGCATGCTTAGTGTCTTCGTCTCGGTCAGGTTCGTATCCAGCAGTCTCATCATCATCCTGGAATTCGTCACCCGAAACGTCGATGTCATCATGATCCATCTTCTCCTGGCGTGAAGCTTGCTTGAATGTGCCGCTTTCTTGTTTGACAGCCACGCGGCCGTTAACAATAGCTCGAGACTCTGCCATAGCCCTCTCCGCTTCTTGGCGCTGAGTATCTCTTACCGCCCAACGACCAAGAGCGACCTTCTTGTTCATGGCCTTCTCTGCTTCCTCAATGGACATTATTTTGAATGATCCACGTTTCGACTGAAACTTGTACCATTTTTCCAGAGGTATCATGCGAAATCCCCCGTTGTGAATCTTGAAAGCAACTTTGCAGTCAGACAAAGGTGCTTCATACTGGCCAACCCAAACATTCTTTCCATCGGCATCCTCCAAGTGCCACGGCAGCGCCTCCTCATATCGAATTTCGGCTTGCTTTTTCTGCTCTTCGGTACGGGGTGCGTAGTGAATTTGTAGGCCAGGCTTTTTCTGTTCTTTCTGCTGCTTGGCCTTCGGGTTTGCGTCCTTAACAACCGGTGCTTTCTGGGCATTATCGGCCGCGCGTTGTGCTTCCCTCTCTGCTTTCACCTGTGCAAGTCTTTCAGCTTCAGCAGTATCGACCGTCTCCTCCTCGGTAGGAGCTTCCTCTTTCACTTCGCGACCGGGCGGCGGTTGTCTGGGATCGCGTCGGTGCAACGTAACAGGACGAGTAAACTCATCCTGATTGGTAGGGTCAACTCCAGGACCATCAGGCTTTCCGAGCTTTCCGCCATGTGGGGCAAATCGCATTACATGGAAGCGTAATCCTTCCTTCAGGGACTTCTTTGTGACATAAAGAGGGTAATCTTGGGCGCCAGGCGGCGTAGGCTGAGACCATCCGCCATTCTGTGTACGCAATACGTCGAAGTTCAGTTGCCCCGGCTTGCCCTGGGTTTGGAATTGCTGCGGCTTACCGGCAGGTCGCGGTGCAGCATTTGGTGTAGAACCTCTAGAAAGCGTCGAAGGGGGTGGTCGGTTTGCGGGCCTCCTTCTAGGGACGAGGGGATTCGCAGTATTTCGTGGCCTTCGCAGCGGTGGCGCGCCAGGAGGAGGGGTTGGTCTCTGGCCGTTGGGGCCACCAGAGGGCGAGGGTGTTGCACTCATAGCGGCGATGTCAGAAGTTAGCACCCTCTAACTAGCAGGCCTCGACAAGTATCGAAGACGTCCTAAGTCGTGACTTATTGCGCTATGCTTCATAAACGAGCATCGGTAAATCGAGGAGTATACTAGAAGACGATGAGATGGTCGAGAGACGAAGGCTGATTTGGATCAAGATATCGACAGACGAATCGAATGTCGCGCCCGTATCAAATGCTAAGGAAAAATGAAGATGGAAAATATTATTCCAGAAAGGTGCACAACCTCTAGTCAGGGTTGCAAGATGAATATGTTCAAAAAAGACAAGCTGCAAGGTGGCAGGAGAAAATGCCAAGTGAATGGAGGATGGATGAGATGAAGTGAATAGGTAGTGAATAGACAGAATAGAGGAAGTTGAAGGTGTGTACAATCAAGTCAGGATCAGCCGTGGATCTAATGCGGTAGAGCCTGCCAGTTCCAGTGCCTTGCTTGTCTGCCTTAGGTACATAAAACATGTACCAAGGCAGCAACGGTATGGATGTACATGTACCTACCTGATTTTTTATTTTATTTTTTCAGAGGTACGAAGTACGTAGCTTTGTTTTGTCATTTGAACGCAGGCAATTTTAGAACAAAGGGCAACCAGGACCTGGAGAGCCGCTTGCCAAGAGAGGATGGGGAAGGTGGACTCTGTGGGGCTGCTATAAAGTATGTACTTATAACGTCACTTGAGTAACTTTCAGTGATAGCCAACCCAAGTAGCGCAAGTAAGACGTAGCGTAGGAACAGGAGCTACAGGGTCCCAATCAGTACAACCCGAACAGGCTCACATAAGTACTTATTCTCCGATCCAAGTCACAAATCTCACTAGCGTAAAAGCTTTGGAAAGATCCAATACTGCCAATTCTCTTTCAGGTGCAGCCAATCAATTGATCTTTCAAATATCAAATATCAAAATCAAATGCTGCATATTTGAGTTGCTACATGTATCAATGTAGGTAAATGCATGTGCCCAGTTCGACATCCAAGAATGCGAAGCTCTTATCTTGTACTTCGTTAGGTATAAACACTTTTTATCCTATTTTCTACGAAACGCCTCATTCACAAGAAAGCTATCCCTACCATCTTCTGACCTAGTCACGTCTAATATCTCACTACAAAGATCATACGATTGACGATATGATTATTTCTGGACTTCATCAAGGACAACCTTCACAGACCTCTTAGGACCTAGCAACAAGCTAATCAATAACAACTTCAGTTCTTAGAACTTACACCTACAGTTGCTATTAAACAGTACCCCCAGAAACTTATGACCATGAGCATGGATTTCTAACCCACAACCACTACGAACATTCCTACTGTTGAGATTGTTTCCTATGAGTCTTAATCAAAATATCCCGATTATGCTTCGAGGTACTTAAGTCTGTCTTCAGATCAGCTTATACAACATCCCCATCCTTCCAACCTCACAATTACCTTAGTCTCGATATTTATTTTCATGCTATCATACTATGCAGGCCTCTCAAGACGGTAGTGGTCCGCTCGAGGACCGCCTACGCAGCCTCATAATTAGCAATACAGAAGGAACGACTACACATGCCCTTCAAAGCTCGGCTACTTCTACAAGGACAGGAAGTATCTCTTTAGAGGATGGGTCTAAAGTCAAACAAGGATGGCCGGAGGCAGGACAGTCATCTCCTTCAACCCAGGCCCCTCCTAAAGCTGGCAAGAAACGTCCAAACCAGGCCGAGCGTCGCAAGATGCGAGCCCAGCTATCCATTCCTATTGACACCAGAGCTCCAGCACCCTATGATGGGAAGCCCTATGCAAATTCCCACCATACCAAGAACCAGCGTTCTACGTGGCACAACACTGAGCAGGATACTTTTCGCCCTCCTTTAAACGCATACAATTATGAACCCCAGGGTCGTGCTACCAACCCTCCATTTTCAAATCAGCGACGCCATCAAGGCAGATTTGGCCAAGTATCGGCATCTGTCCCAGGCCACCAGCCACCTCAGAGGCAGCAACAACCATATACGCAAAATCCTTTCTCAAAGGGCGTTAACGTTATATCGGCAGATTCATTCGCAGCCCGCGGCCCTGCACCTGCCCCTTCACAGTCTTGCCTCTATCATCCAAATGGGCAGCACCAACCTATCTTCGATCCAGAGCAACTTGCGAATGAATCAGCCCATCTTGATGAACTTTGCCGTTTTGTGATTACAGGTGCGGAAATTGAGCCTAGCGAGATTGCTGAAAAAGAATACTTCCGTGCTCAAGTAGAGGCAATTTGTCGCGATGCTATCACTCGCCATGAGATCGAAATCAATGGAAACTTGGGTTTCCAGCCTTACACAGTTGAACTCAAATGCTTTGGGAGCCTTGCGTCTGGATTTGCGACGAAGGCTGCTGATATGGACGTTGGTCTTCTTTCTCCTATGTCCTGGTCCTCGCCGGAATCACCGGATTCGCCTATTCCACGTCTAATTGAGAAAGCATTACTGGAGCATGGCTTTGGTGCACGCCTTCTCACTCGCACTCGAGTACCAATCATCAAGCTCTGCGAAAAGCCCGGTGAAAGACTTCGTTTGGACTTGTTGGACGCGCGAGCTAAGTGGGAGAAAGGAATAGTAGACGATAGTAACGATGCGGCAGACGATGTTATAGATGATCAAGATGCCCCTGACGGCGCTGTTGCTGCCCTAGCCGTCGCCGAAATCGAACATTCGTCGCCTAGTAACCAGGACCAAGACTCCCAAACACGATCTGGCCCAGTGGGAAGGACCTATGAGGAGCAGCTTTCTTCCTTGAAGCAATCCGACTCTCAATCGTTGGTAGCGTATTATCATAACGCGAAACGCCTTCTACGCCGATTAAATGGTCGTGATATCACCATATCAAATGCGACAGACTTCAAAGACACAGACTATAAGGTTCTTGATGATGTCGCCAACGCCTTCATTAATGGACTCCATGATGGGGATTTAAAACGACGAATACAGGCATACCCATCCTTCTCTTTCGATGTCACATCAGAGCCGCCTAATCGCCGCTCGCTTATAGGCGTCTTTATGATGGCGGAAGGCGAGCAACTTGCGACCATCTGGGAAACGCAGGCAATGATAGAAAAGAGCATCCAATTGAGACCAGATTCCAAATTTGTTGTCCAAACCTGGAAAGATATCATGTGTAAGAAGATCTTCGGTACAGAACCCCTTACACTAAATCGGGAACTTCATTTAGCTCTTGAACACCTTCGTAAGATCCCGTTAGTGCAACTTATACAGCTTAAGCAAGATCAATACGAGTCACCAACACAATATCACACAAGAGCGATCCAGATCACGAACGGTCTTTGTCCCGCTCGTCCATCATCAAATAAGTCTTTTCTCCCTGAGATCTCCCAGCACTATATTTCGGGTATCCGTGATAAGTATGTGAGAGATGAGGTTCAAAAATTCGCAAACTCCACCGGAGTGCAGAATCTGAGGACACTGGCCAGGAAGCATAAAACCATCCATCTTGTCACCGAGTACGAAAGGGCCATCGAGAAAGGTCTTTACCGTGAAGAAGATATTCCAGCCATTAAAGAGTACATGGAGATCCTTCAGGGCGACTTTCTGCACCAGACACCAGCCACCGATAAACCCATAGTTGATGCGTTCGACTTCATAGTCCCAGCTACCAAGAAAACAACGGAGCTAGTTGGAAAGATCAGACAACTCCCTGATCCATCCAAGCTTGCACCAAATAAGCCAAGGGACCGATATCACGATAGCTTGGAGTTTCCTAAGAATGGAGTCGGTGTACAGTGCGATATCAATTTCTCGGCCCACTTAGCCCTCCAGAATACCTTGCTCCTACGCTGTTACTCCTACACCGATCCCCGTGTTAGGCCTATGGTCCTTTTTGTAAAGCACTGGGCCAAGGCTCGCGGCATTAATACACCATATCGCGGAACCCTGAGCAGCTATGGTTATGTTCTTATGGTACTACACTACCTTGTCAACGTTGCAGTACCATTCGTATGCCCCAATCTTCAGCAGCTCGCTCCCCCTGATCCGAACCTACCAGCAGAGGATCTTGAGGATGTTACCACATGTAAGGGCTGGAACGTTCGATTCTGGAGGGATGAAGAAGAGATTCAGAGGCTAGCCCATCAAGGCCATCTCAACCAAAACCAAGAATCCCTCGGATCATTGCTAAGAGGATTTTTTGAGTACTACGCGCAGAATAACGTAATGAGCACTACTCGCAAACGTGGTTTTGACTGGGGCAGGGACGTTTTGAGTTTGCGAACCCACGGAGGGCGGCTCTCAAAGCAAAAGAAAGGTTGGACAGGAGCGAAGACAGTCCTGCAATTAGAGACAGGTGCTCTTCCAGACCCAGCCGAAGCGGGGGTTAACCACAAGGTGAAATCACCTATAGACGGCATGATCGGACAGCAAGCTACAACAAACGCACAATTTGGGCAATTTAATTCTCTGGACGGTGTCCCTGTGCCACCAACCAAACCAAAGGACTTGAAGGAAGTGCGTCATCGATACCTCTTTGCAATCGAAGATCCGTTCGAACTTGAGCACAACGTCGCTCGGACTGTAACTCATAATGGCATTGTGTCCATCCGAGACGAGTTCCGGCGTGCCTGGAGAATCATCAGAACTGCCGGCAAAAATGGGCATGCTGTAGAGAATCTGCTGGAGGATGTCAACGTGGAGAGCGAAAAGACGGAGGGAAAGCAATTCACAGAACTATTGGAGGAGATGCATGGACCGGGTATCTTCCTGAGTTCTGTAACGAACTAATCATAGTTATAGCTATCCGCACAAGTTTGTATGTTTAAAATTGTAAGCTCTGCTTTATAGCGGCAGATCGGATATTGTACGAGTAATGACGTCCAAGGGATATGTGATGGGGGATGGATCTCTCTTGTTACTTGTCGACTAGTTGTCTGAGCTGGTTTCAAAACATTGATGTGTTAACTGCCAACTGAATACGTGGTGTCCGGCCTCGTATTACGGGATAATGTAATGCTTGTACGATCGCATATTCTAACAGCTTCCTTTTGCTATAAACGACGTCAAATAAAAATTAGTCAGCCAAGTCAATAACTTTCTGATTAATCCGTTTCGCTATATCGCTCTCACTTGCTATTCCTTATGGGCGTTCAATTGTCTTAGGCATAAATGACTGCCAACTAAATACCTATATCAGGTATCTTTATACTTTTTCAGTTTAATAAATATAGGACTTCAAATCCGATGTACGTTGTATCCTTATTTCATTATTCCCTATATTGACGAAAGTAATCGCCAACTTTACTATGCTTTGGCCTGGTCAACCCAGACAAAGGTCATGATAATCACTCACGAATATTGCGCAACGGCATCATCATCAGGCATGACAAATTAGAATATATTCAACATCCGTAATATGTTGCATAATGACAATTATATTGAGAATAGGTAGTTGGTAATACACCTAACCTACCCTAACCTAGATAAAATATTCTGACATGTCCGAAAATTTCTCTTGCCAAACACCCACTATCCATCGAAACGGACATGATAAAAAATATCTGAGTGACCGGCCTTCTAGAATCGTTAAGTCCCAAAAGGGACAGCTTGATCTACCAACGTTCCGTTCAGAGGCTTGTCCTAGAGGGACGTTAAGCCCTGGCTATCCGAGGATAGCACCGCTGGGGATTGTGCAAAGGGGAAACAATTCAGAGAGCATAATTTTGGCGCACGCGAGACTCCATCGAACAACATACCTGTCGTGACAATCTTAATGTGGTATCTGATTTAATCGCATAACGCTAGCCGTGATTCCTAGAAGCCGTAATAGAACCTTGTTTCGCCTCCAACCAGACGCCATACCGAATAACCCGCAGCCTCACCTATCAACCTTTTTATGAATAGTACACTACTGCGAGCATATTGCAGCCTAATTCATAACACTCGTAACATTCCAGGTTATCTAATCGGCCATATGCTGGAACAGAGGCGAGATGGATTCGCCGTAGTGGTTTCTTCGAATAGCTTCGGACAACAGATAGGAAAGGTCAAGAATAACCAACTTACTTGAGTTTTTAGCTCTCCGGTCCGATATCGGAAAACTGTTGGTTACGATGATCTGATCGATACAGTCGCAGGCTTGCAGCTGCTCGAGACAGTCTGCTCCAAACACTCCATGAGTAGCCATGCAATATACCTTCTTTGCTTTGCCTCGCTTAACGACTGTCTCAGCCGCAGCAATCCACGAACCGGCTTTGTCAATCATGTCGTCCACAATCAGGACTGGACGGTCCTTAACATTGCCGACCAGTGTGATCATATGCTCGATCTTGGGATCTCGGAGTTTCTCTTCCTCCTCGTCAGATGACGCTCCGACGTCACCCGAGCCGCCGAGTGCATGTGGTTCAGGCGCGAAGAAAGAAGAAGCATGAGACATGGTCATAGGATCATCGTCGCCGCCTTGATAAGATTGGCTCCCATCTGCACTGCCATCTGACTGGGGCGGCGACTGGAAGTCATCTGCTACAACGTGACCTTGTACCAGTCTTCCATGAGTCACCTCTAGGGCACGTTGGTCGTTGTAGAGCTGGACTTCATCAACGTTCTCTTCTTCATCTTTCAACTCCTCAATAGGAGACGTTTGAGAAGGCGTATATGCACGTGTATAAGGCGACCGCGTTAGACTATTAGTCCGCAGCGGAGGCGCAGCTGCACGTTTAGGAGAACCTTGGGATTCGCCAGTAACTCGCGATGACCTTACTGAGCAGTTACCATCCGAGTCCCTATCTTCCGAGATAGCTCTTGAACGCTGGACGCCATTGATGTAGCCAGGGGGGTTGTCCCATCCATCCAGCCGGTTCATAATCATACTCGCCGACATATTGGGAGCGCGTTTACGGTCCGTAGTAACCAATCCGAAGTTGAGTTTCAACGCATCGGCCAACGAGGTTACCCTCTTCGTGCCACCAGCATTCTTAGATACGACGACAGCTTCCTTCCAATTAGGAATATTCAATCGAATCCAGCGTGCAATAAGGGGCTCGGCATGTAGGTTGTCAACAGGGCACTTGAAGAACCCTTGCATTTGAGAGGCGTGTAAGTCGACGGTGATAACATGCTTGACACCAGCTACGTGAAGCAAATTTGCTAGCATCCGAGCGGTGATGGCTCCCCGGTGTGATTTCTTCTTGGACTGGCGGCTGTAGGGGAAGTACGGGAGGACGGCTGAAAAGGTCTTGTAGTTAGCAAGTAGAATACTCCCTATCCGTATCTATGCGTGGTATGACCCAGAGATATTTTCCTCGCAGCAGCTTTGAGAAACTCACCAGTGATCTTGTTCGCAGAGCCACCCTTGAAGGCGGAGATCATGATGAGTAATTCCATGATGGTGTCATTGATTGTAGGGCTTCCAGATTGCACAACGAAGACATCCTTGTCTCGGACACTGGTCAGAATTCGGACGCTTGTTTCGCCCTGCAGATTGTGATCAAAATGTCAGTGGGCAGCTCTACCGTTACAACGTTGCCCAAGCCTTTTTTTCTTCTTTTTTTCCTAGCCCGTTGGACTTCGAGACATTGGGGAAGGATAACACACATTTGAAAATTGAGACAGGTCGGCCTCAGCCGGAGCCATGCCCAGGTTCTCACATATTTTACCCGTGAGAGCTGGGCAAGACGTGCCCGAGAATACTAATGTTCCTCGCATTCTGTGGATGGTGAAAAGAAAAGAAAAGTTTTGGTGAAGGAGTTGAAGAAAGATGGTTTTATGTGGGTCATAGGTGGGATCCGATAAGAAGTAAAAAGAGCATGGACCTAATTTGACCGGGGCCTTCACTAGGTACATATGGCTGCATACGCGGTATCCAAGGCATTTTGACATCAGAGTTACCTACCCTCATCCGAGCCGTGACCGTTGTTACATTTTTACATTTTATTGGAACGCGGATGTCAAATCCCTGTGTGCAATTGACTTTGTTAAGCTCTAATTGGTTTGAAGATTTTTTTGGGTTAGTCCTGCATCTGATCAATTAGACATGTACCTATAGGTATGTAGGTACCTACCTAGGTACATAGGTAGGTACCTATGCAGTAACTCAGGTACCTCCACCAGCCTTCTTCAGTAAAACTTTCTGCAGTGGCCCGTTCTTCGCTCACGCTTTTTGTCCCAATTTAATAACAAAGTTCGGAGTTGATCGACAACGACGTATAGTTATATCAAAATGAGGTGATATACTACCTAGGTTATAGATGATTCAAGATACCAGTGAAAATACTTCATCTTGAAGAGCCAGCCCAAGGCTTATCGCATCGCGATGGGTATTCGTGGGTTCACCCAAGCCATACAACGATATGGGGTCTTCTCACCATTAAGTGGTGATACCGTCGTTATTGACGGGCCAGCTCTCGTTCACCGCATCTCCGAAGCAGTTTGCCGCCAACGGCCATCTACAAGCGGATTTGTCTGCCATCCCCCATATTCCCTCCTTAGCCGTATGGTAATAGGCTGGCTTGAAGAGTTGAAGAACCACGATGTAAATGTGTAAGTCGACTTTGAGGTTCGACGAGATACCTCGATGACTAACATTTGGTGGATAGAAGGAAGATATATTTTGATGGATACTTGCCCCCAAGCAAGTGGGAGGTGAGACGGGAGCGGCTCTTAAACCAATCCCAGCGTATGAAAGCATTGGCGTCTTCTCAGCCATTTGGGTCACCTATGACACCAGAAGGCGCATTTAGAGACGTAAGAGCCAATACAACCTTAACACGGCAATTCCCTCGATCTTCGTCTGGTGCATCACCAAAACCCCCCTTTATGGTCCCGGCGGTTCTTGAGGCTTTAAAGGCCAATCAAGACTGGGGTCCCTTGGTCGTAGTCGTCCCTGGAGAAGCTGATATATTCTGTGCGCAAGATATTCGAGAGAATGGTGGCACTTTGCTGACAAACGACTCCGACTTGCTCATACAAAATCTTGGGCTTAAGGGGTATGTATCATTCTTTTGGGACGTTGTTCCAGTCGATCCTACCTCGAAGGAATCCGGTATGGTAGCAATGAAGATATCACTTCACGATATCAATGACCGGCTAGGCTTGACAAATCTCGGCGGTCTACCTCGCGTTGCCTTTGAAAAGCTGAAGGGCTGGATGAGCTTCGACGCAGCCGTACAGAAAGCTCGGGACAGCCATGAAGACACGCTACACTCCCCGGAGTATCTGGCTTTTGTGGACGGGCTTGAAGGAAAGGAATATATACCAAGCCATCATCCAGTGCTTACTATACTCTCTGGCCTAGATCCAAGAATATCGGAAGTCGTCATTCAAATTCTACTTTTAGAGCAGATTGAAGAAAAATCTACGGAATTAGATGAGAAGACATTGCGAGGTCCAGAGACGCTTTCCATATTCCTTCCAATTATGGTTGAAAATCATGATAAGAGAAGCGCATGGACAGGTAGCACAAACACTCGCCAAATAGGGTACAGTATTCTTCAGAGCTTAACACGCCAACGATATAGTAAAATTATCGAGTATCGTACCTTAGATCCATCGACGTCATTAACCGGGCGACAAATTGAGATTCCTAACCTCGAAGAGACGGTCGACAATTGTACTCAACTTGTAACAGTTCTAGATAAACTAGCAGAGGCCTTGCCATCTTCGTTGCAGTGGTTGGCGTTTGCGGTATACCAGGACATTGAATGGTCCACGTCAGAACAACGTTCCTCTCTATCAGCTGCACTCGTCAGCAAAATGCTGAGCGGGTCTGAATTTCTGGAGGAATACTCGTGGGACTTGATACACTTCACAGCCCAAGTCCAAGCCTGCTTATACTCGCTGAGGATAGCTAAACAAATCTTAGACGTTGTTGTCTTTATGGGTCAAGATATCCCAGCGCCAGCGCGTCAATTACACAACCGTCTCGCACTACTTCCTCTTATTGGAGAATGGCCTACTATTGAACACATTTCTGATCTACTGTCTGAGTTCGGTAAGGCAGAGGGACTCCGAGTCATCACAGACATGCTCGGAATCCCAAGTATCGAAATAGCAGCGCCTTCTGAGGATTCTACAGGGCCGAGAAAAAGACAGAAGCGAGATCCCGAGTTACTACCGCGCAAAGGACGCCAAAGAGATATCAAAACATCACCCTCTATCAACCCTTATGCCATCCTCAGCCAAGAGAGCGAAGACTAATAGGAAGATGAACGAGCAAATCTTCTAGTGGTAGTTCTGAAGTAGTGTGCTATGACAAGAGAGGACCGGGTAAGATGTTGAGAAAACAGATTGGTTTTACGAAAAGAAGATATCGGTGATATAGCTCGAGGATTAGTTTATATGTAAGAAGATCCATAGCATCGACGGATACCTTCTATTGGCAGTACTATGCGCGAAGGATGATTACGTTGTTGGTGAGCATGGGTCGCCTCGGACTGCCAAGATCCCCGAGGTCCTTTCGAATACCACTTTTATTCGGCTCCAATGAGTCACCTGAGTACGCGACTGGATCGTGAGGCGGGGCTCGGTGAAGACCCCATCCCGCAACGCGACGGTGCAGACATAGGCTGCATATATCCCCACCCTTGTCGTGGTTGATGCTGCCAACGGCTTCTCAGGCTATCTTCCAAGGTAGGTCTATAAGAACTTCTGTCTGGCTGCCGGAGTTCTCTAGTTTTTAATCTCATCTGCAGTATCTTCTTGCCTTTATTCAAGACACTATCACTATATTTTGCCTATTCTATTTTTGAATACCCGAAAGCGTATAATACAATGGCAACAACTGCATCTCTTCTTCCGACTATTCCCCGCATATTCTTCCTCTATCTAGAGCCAGTTGCGATGTATGTCTCCTGGTTATTTCATATTTTATAAGACACCCATGATTAACACGTATAGAACATATGGCATGGTTTCAAATTATGCCTCGCGTCATCCCATATTTGAGCTTTCGTCTAATGCACAAAATGGTCTACCTATCCCATCTCTGATTATGCCATCGATGGCCACGGGCTACCTTCTTAATATGATGCTATACGGCCTAATTATTCTCCTTGCGTCGCCGCCTAATAAACGCCTGTTGCAGCTACACATCGGGATCTTGATAATTGCCGACCTTACGCACTGGGCTGGTCTTTTTTCGACGATTGCTGAAAATGACCCTCGCGGGTGGGCCGCTATCTTCGACACGAGTGATTGGGGAGCTGATGTCTGGAACCTTGCTACGTATCCTATTAGTAGTCTCGCTATTAAGTTTGCGACTTTGGCTGGGTTGTTTGGCAAGATCCAGGGCTAGAGGTTGAGCAGACTTCCTTGGGGAGCGAACGAAAGTGAATAAATAGGGAGTAAATTAGGAGAGGATATAGAAAAAGGGGGGAGAATGTAATAAAAAAAAGAATTAAAAAAATAGAGAGGGAGAAAGAGAGGCAAAAAAGAAATACAAAAAAAGCTCAGTCCCAGATTCGAATCCCCTCGGATAGGGGCAGAGGATTCGAATCCAAGACCTACGAAAAACCGGCTTCGTTAGGTATCTGCTGTCAAGTCACGTTCTTTTTTTTTTTGGAAGAACGGTCCAGCATAAGACACCACAGTGGGGTTTTCTCTAACCTCAAGTCGCCCAAGCGAGGGGCGTCGGTTGATGGATTGTTTGTAATTTAGATATATATCTTTTACTACGTGGGTAGGTACCTCAACAAATGTACCTTGGGTAGTTATTTCGTTGCCTAGGTTTCTGCCGGTTGACTTTTCAGGTACTGGCCAGCTGTAGGTTGCATGCTTGTGAAGCTATTCAGCCCTGATCATGCAAAGTAGCAGTGTTGTGCATCACCCTATATCGTGGGGAGTAGGAGTTAACATAAAGGTTAGTAGGCACTCAGATACTGTAAGTTGTATTCGATTAACAATAACACGCTGATATATTAACATAGGTAAATATAGGAATTCCAACGTCTATATGATCGACTAGTGATCGGCCATCCTTCTCAACATTCAACTATTAAATACCTTCACTAGACCACGCACTTCTCTTCTCAAAAGCTCACATCTGCATATAAAATGGCGTTCTTCTCGACACCCTAAAAGTTCTGGCCGCCACCCGCAATAGCAGTCATGTTAGGATTCCCAGGCTTGATGAGAGTCTTCTCTTTAGGTAGAGCATCCAGCACCGCATCCGACAGGTTAAGCGTATCCTTGATAATCTGGCGCGGCGTCAGCGCGAGCCACTGGGCAGCGCTTATATCGGAAAACTTCTTGGCCTGCAGCACCTCCAGGAATATGACGTCTTCGGTACCCGTGTTCTCGATGTAGTGGCCGGCCGACTTCTGGATGTAGCCGACGTCGCCGGCGGTGAAGTCGAAGGTCGCAGAGGCGGCGGGGGCTTCGTAGATGGTGATGCGGGCGGAGCCTTGTAGGAAGTACGACCATTCGTCGCTCTCGGTGTGCCAGTGTACCTCGCGCATGGCGCCGGGCTCGAGGACGACGAGCGCGGCGGAGAACATGTCTGCTACGGGGAAGGTTATCGGGTCTAGGATCTTGACGGATCCGCCGGTGGTGTTGTGGAATTCTTGTTGCGACCAGTGGTAAGTGTATCCTGAAGGACCCCAGAGAGCACCAGCTGAAGACGTGATGTTCTGCTCTGAGATGTTGGCCGGAGCAGGGGTGCCATTGAAGATATGTCGTGTTTGGTTAGCTTCATTCCGGCGATTATAGATATTTTGGGACCAGGGCGCGACTTACATATTTCTCTGCGTCGGGAATGTTGTCGAACGAGCTGACGTCGGTCTGGAGATCCTTGGCCCAGACAGATACGGGCGTGCGCATGAGCATCTCGGTAGCAAGAAAGGTGTCTGTCTCGGAGAAAGTACCGCTGTCAAAGATCAACAGGAATTCGGCGCCCTCGTGTAAGGCCTGTAAACTGTGAGGGACACCCTGCGGGAAGAACCAGACATCGCCAGCTGTGACGTCGTCGATGAAGGAGGCTCCATCAGTGTCGATGGCGGCTACGCGAACCGAACCTTTCAAGACTAGGGCCCTAGTTACAGGTCAAGATGTCAGCTTCGGGCCTTATGTAAGAATCAAGAGGCAAGTAGAGAGCTCTATACCATTCACCAGAAGTATGCCAGTGTAATTCTCGATACGCATTCGGTGCAAGACGCATATCGACGCCCGCCATCTGAGTAGCCACAGGCAGTACATCTTGATTCTGCTGCCGAGCCCAACCGGACTCCTCGCCCGAGCCGAATAGGTTGTGACTTAGACCAAGAGGCCACATAGCTTGGGGCACGGTGCCTTTATCCGTTGAAGGTGGGGCGTAGGTATCGGGATTCAACTTCTCATACTCGTACGTGCGCGGCCCAGGGTCAGTTTGTCCCAGACTGCCACGAATGGGTTGTGGGCCATTGGGATAGTCGGCGCTGTTGAAGTCTAGGTAGAGACCAAGTTTAGCATCAGCTTCCTGGCCACCCACGAGCTGCGGATCCTCCACAACGGCCGAGTCGCCCCCATCAACAGGTGGACGCGATGCGATGCCTCCTTGAAGGTTCGTTGAGCCGCGGAGGTTTCCTACGGGTGCACCGCTGTAAGTTGGAATAGGCGGGTTGACACCACCAACATCCCCTGTATTTTCTTCGTATGTCATCCTATAATAGGTATTAGTGCTGTCCTCTATAAGACGTTCTAGATGCTACTTACTGAGGCCTTGGAAGGGCAAGGGCCAGGTGAAATAGCCCAGCGCTTGCAAGTGTCTTTGAGTACCTCATCGTGAGAAATTATATATCTTGCCGGGAAAGGTTGATACGACGGAGAGATAAACAGAAGGTTTGTGGTGGCCTAGGATTCCTTGTCGTCTGTGGGAAATGATTCGTAAATTGTTCAGGAGAAGGGAAATCTATACGACTTTTATATTCGATTCCCCTTGATAGGTATTGTTCAAACTTTCGTCGGTGGACACATAATCAACTACATCATCATGGCCCATGGGCATCGCCCAACACCCCTACTGCAGCCTTCCCCTGACACCGCATAGTCTAGACCCGTCATCTAATAATTGTGACGAGAGAGCATACTACCCAGGGTGCTATACCCCTGAGTATAGTCATCTCCGCTCCAGCGGCATAGTATCCAGTGTCGTCAACGACGCGCGCGTGGTGGTGGCTCAGTCCCTTCTTCCTAAAGACTCCATCGGTCACAAATACAATGGGTCAGCCGGTGAGGCCTTTACCCTGCCACTGGAAGATGCCGAATCTAATCCGCTGCAGAATACCTTGTTAAAGTTTCTAGCCTACAGCCTCAACCCTAGCGATTCCGAGCGACGCCGAAAGTAGTCGACTGCATTGTAGGACTTTCCGACGGAAAAAGATTGCCGGATTGAACCAGGGTAGCTCGTTTACTAATCCGCAATCCGAAGACATAGGAGTGATACGGAAATACGGCAGAAAACGAGCGCTCAGATATCATATTTGGTTTTGGCTGACATCCATCCATCCATCCATGCGCCAACTCGGAATCCCGGAATTTTTAGTTGAGATTGTGACTCGCGAAATATGATTGTAGTATGTTATATTGCATCGCTGTGAAGCCTTGCCCACTCAGCTCAAGTCGGTCAGCAATAAGAGCCTTTGCTGACCGAAATATAGCTGGTAAATATACCTATTCTCTACACTGACATCATAACCGTTCGTTCATCATTCAATTGGAACCCGCTTCGACAAAATATGGCCTATTTAGTCCTAGGATGATTTGGAAATAATTGTCTTGTGACAGACCTTGATAGTAAGGAAAGACGGTGAAAGCTTGGAGTCTCGGAAGTAAGACGAAATAAAATATCTAGGTTACAGAGATATAACGAAATATATTCTGTTCTAAGATTAATAATTAGGACTGGTCTATCAACCCTCCCCAAAACTTCACAATCTGCTAGAGATCCGTAACTCCAACCCGTGTCGCGGATAGTAAACATACGCCTGCTCGCCGAGTGCGCCGAACTTCTTCCTAAACTGAGCCTTGCCGCCAAGCCGGAGGTTCCTGACGATAACGTCGTACGTGTTGGCCAAGAACTTCGCTCGCACACCGCCAAGCCGGGCCCCAGGCGTAAGCCGCTCCGGGACGCCAGCGCCGAAGGTCACCGGTCCGCTTAGAGCTCAATAAAGGTTCGCGATTATAATATAGAACAGTTAGAGTGAATAATTAGCAGGAGTAATGCAAGGTATTGAGTATCTCAAGGTACCAGCGGGAAGTCCTCTCATATGCTGTTGCTCGTCTCTTGATATACCAGCACAAGCTACGTATCTTGGCCGTATTGTCATCATCGTGTAAAGAGTTGTTAACCTTCGTGATTATGGTGTATTAACTTGTTCTCCAATTCTATTCTTACCATATATACGGTCACATCTGTAGATCAATCTAGATATTAGTTTCCTCATCATTGGGTTTGCTCTTTTGCCCCGCCGTCTTTTACCTATTAATTAGTTTACTTCACCGATCAGATTTCACGAGCCTGGCTTTCGAGAAGGAATAATGTGTTAATTTCTCCTTCTGTATTTCATGCATAAGATACCTAAGTAAGTAGTAATGCTAGTGATGGCACATGGGGATTCGCTAAATCATTACCTAGCTACTAAAGATATAGCTCATATAAGTTGGTCGTACGCCACAACGATGGTTTATAAGACAGTACGAAGTAACCAAGAACCCATAGAAGGGTCAGAATAGTCTAAGTTTATGTAGGGAGAACTATCTAGATATACTGATTATTCTATCAGTACGCCGGAAAATCAAGGCCCCTCAGGCACTTGGCAGCTGCTTGGTTGTCCTTGTCGATAGTTTTGAGGCGTTAGTGGAGCTGTTTGAACTGGGGAGAAGCTCTACATTACGTAAGGCCCTTTGCTTAGTACATATTCACGCTTTAGAAACGGGTTTTCATCGGCCGCGTAGTGTAGTGGTTAGCACGCAGGATTTTGATTCGTACAAATTTCCTGAGACCTGAGTTCAATCCTCGGCGGGGCCTTTCAAACACAAATTAACTTTTTGCATCATTCCTCTAATTTTATAGCACATGGTCGGTAAACTTTAAATTTAAATGCATATTTATTTCTACGTCAATAATTCTTCTATTTGAGGAAGCATTTATTGACAAAAGTTTTGCGGCTTCATACCTATCATATTTTTAAATATTCGATAGATAGAGGATGATTCTCTACCACCGATCAACAAGGGTTGAATTGCTTCTATTCGAGAGCAATGCTGTATAATATAGAGATGCGCTCAAGTTCTACAATGTCAAATTCCAAAGCTTACCTAGGTACCAACCGACATAAAAGGACGGCGTTAGCTCAACCGAGGGGTTCCGATACGGAAGCTGTAACGGCGGGGCAGCAGGAACTAACTATGGTGGGGTTGAGCACATCATCGCTGCTATTCGGCACCTTGCCGCACTTACACCGTGGTATTCTCTTATATAGCTAGTCCACATCATAAAAGCTCGCACCTTTTTCTATTCCCCTTGACGTTTCTACTTGAGACTACCTTATGCCCATCCTGCGAACAGGTCTCTCTACGCTTCGGCACCTAGGACGCTTCACACTCTCGTCTTCTCCAAGAGCAACTCTCTTACAACCCCTCCATAACCTCCACATAAGCCTCGTCAGGAGAAGCGCCATGTCCTCAGCTGTAGCAAAGCGCCTCGAGGGCAAGACCATCGTGATTACTGGTGCGTCGTCGGGAATTGGACGTAGTACTGCGCTCGAGTTTGCGCGAACCTCGCCCAAAGACCTGAAGCTTGTCGTCACGGCGCGTCGCATCGAGAATTTGCGTCAGCTCGCCGACGACATCGCAAAGGAGGTCGGCTCTGGCGTCCGCGTCTTGCCTGTCAAGCTCGATGTGAGCAACGCCGATGAGGTCCGCGGCTTTGTCGCCAGCCTGCCGGAGGAGTTCCGCGATATCGACGTACTAGTGAATAATGCGTAAGTGCCTGTTTTCATTTTTGAACGAGGGACGCCTACGGAGTATGACTGTGGTTAGATTCAAGCCAGGTATAAGAATAAAAATGGGAGATAAAACGTGGATATATCTTCAGTATTTGATATATATGGAAGCAACTTTGCGCCCATTAACTAACCGTCATAAAACCAGCGGCCTTGTTAAAGGCGTAGCACGCGCCCCCGAGATTGCCGAGGAGGATATTAACGTCATGTTCGCGACTAACGTCACGGGCCTGATCAACCTGACCCAAGCTGTACTACCCATCTTCCTTAAGCGGCCAGACGGTGGCCATGGGGATATTATCAATGTTGGCAGCATCGCCGGCCGCGAGCCTTACCCAGGCGGCGGCATTTACTGCGCGACCAAGGCTGCCGTCCGCAGCTTCACCGATTCCTTGCGCAAGGAGCTTGTCGCTTCGCGCGTCCGTGTCATCGAGGTCGATCCCGGCCAAGTCGAGACGGTATGTTAAACATTCCTTTCTAGTTAATGGTAGTGATATATGCCGCTGTTCCGGCGCTGATATTATGATCTTCTAGGAATTCTCTCTTGTTCGATTCTACGGCGACAAGAGCAAGGCTGATGCTGTATATGCGTAAGTAACCACATTCAACTAAGTGACCACATATGTATACTAATATTCCAACTAGTGGAGGTGAACCTCTAACACCTGATGATATTGCCGAGGTTATCGTATTTGCTGCTGGCAGGAGGGAAAATGTCATAGTAGCGGACACCCTTATCTTCCCTAACCACCAAGCCAGTCCTTTTGTAATTCACAAGAAATCATAGAAATTTAGATAATCCAGGACTTATATTTCATCTACCAAACTTTACGGGAAGAGAATGAGGCAACGGCAAGGGCGAACACGCCATAATAACATCTTTGAATCCAAATCATATGCCTTACCTTATGGTCTAAAAGATAAAAACTCTACGAGATTGACTTCATCCATAGCTCAATTGGGCAACTATGGGCTTAATCGTGTTCAATATGCATCTATTGCTGAGAAAAGTCAGCGGGGACTATGCACGATATTCTAAACCACAACGTAGCTTGCGCGTAAATGAGTTCAGACAACCGGTTTACTCATTCACTCGAATCGGCCTTCGAAATCTATGCCTCAAGACGAAACACAGAAGTCAAAAGCACTGAAGCAATCATAACATCCGACAAACCCTAGCAGAAAGCAGGGTTGCCAATGGACAACTCCACAACCAATCCTCGCATATCCAGAAGGACAGGCTATGGTGCGGGAGGGAGGCTCGACTCGATGTGAGATAGTTGAATGGATAAACAGTTTTCATCATGACAGAACGCGCCACGTAAGGAAGTCTATCGTAACTTACATTTGACACACCATGGTTGTAGGCTGGCTATATCGGAGGTCAGGTCTAGCATGCGGCTTTACTATAAACTACTTCTCTGTTAGCTTGTGCTATTTCCAAGACTCAAGAAGAAGATAGAGGGTATTTAATCAGAATAAATTTTTGGTATATGGGTATCATCACAGCGCTTCAGAAGCAGAACTGATAAAAAAGGATTCATCATGGACAAGAATAACGACAAAGAAAACTTCAGAGCCTGCTTACCTTAACTGTATATTACTGGTCGCGATTACTGTTAGATTTCATGCTGCTGAGTACTATTTTTCCTGAGAAGACAATTAGTCAAAGAACCAAAGATAATAATGACAATTGCAATGGCTGATTCATGCTTCAGATGGTAGTGCATGTATGTTCAGTTGCTCAGGTGATCGCGGAGAACAGTGGAATTGGATTCATCAGTAGCAGAATGACCTACTAAGAAAGAAAAGTCTGTCCAGGGGTCGAAAAGGAAGGTAAATGAAACTTACCAAAATATTTGCGAAGGTCGGGTTCGAGATTTCAACCATCAGCGACGGTGGACTTGGATTTACCGGGTAAAGTCGTCTTGCATACCATCGCCCGGTAAAATGCGAAACCTTTCTAGGACTTCTTCTCAAGTCTAAGTCGTAAATCCACGACGACCATGGCTGCCTGTGCTGGTAGACATTGGGTGGTTGAGCATCAGGTTCTTGTTTGCATTTTTTAAGAGGGTGCGAAGAAAGAAATTTCGGTTTTGAGGTCGGGTTCAAAAAAATCTTCGGATAACGGAAAATCCATGACCGATTGGTCAGTGCTTCAAGCAGGTGCAGAATGCAGGGATTCGTGGGGTTAGTGGGCATGGTGGGGCAGTTCTACGCTCAAGGTTGCATGGAATTTTCAGTGCGTGCCGGTATGTACTAAGCTTTCTGCAAGCTCATTGAAGTGCGACATCTGAAGCTTCTTAGCAACAAAACACTTAGGAGCGCTATAACTTTCCCACCATGGCTGATCGGAGACGAATTAATGGCCCAGTAGGTCAAACGACTCCTCCCGTCTACGATACGCCTCAAGGGAAAAGAGTAGCAAAGCGTCCGGGCGACAATGACGTTCGAAAGATCTGTAAGTCGCATCGTTTCCTTGTACGTATTAGCTGTCTAATTTGAATTGCGTATAGTTCTGAAAACAGGAGTTACTCCTTCAGCTTCAGGATCTGCATATCTGGAAATCGAAGACCCATTTGCGATCCGTCCTTCAGGCACGAGCTTGAAGCTTACCTGTACTGTTCATGGACCTCGAGCACTTCCGCGATCTGCGCCTTTCTCTCCTCATATCATCCTTTCGACGCACGTCAAATATGCACCTTTCGCGACGAGACAAAGACGAGGTTACCTACGCGATTCAAGTGAGAGGGATCTCGGAGTCCATCTAGAAACAGCATTACGAGGCGCAATTATCGCGGATCGTTGGCCTAAAAGTGGTGTCGACATCATCGTCACCATAATTGAAGGAGACCAGAATCGTGACTCTCCCGATTACGATAGAGACGAAGGTTGGGACATGATGAATGTCTTAAGTGGTTGTATAACCGTTGCCTCTGCGGCTATTGCGGACGCTGGCATCGACTGCGTGGATACTGTCGCAGGAGGCGTTGCGGCTTTAGCAGCTCAGGACGAGAAGAGCCAGCCAAGCATCGTCCTTGATCCGGATGTTGCCTCATATCACAAGATATTTGCAGCGTGTTGCGTCGCATACCTGCCGACAAGGGATGAAGTAACTAACGTCTGGTTCAAGGGTCAATTGCCCGCTGCGGACGCTATGCTCTACAACAAAATGGTTGAGAGAAGCCTTGTAGCATGCCGCAATGCGAACCGCGTCCTCATCCAGGCTTTAAATGAGACAGTTGATAAAGGGAAAAATGTCTCTTAAGCTAAACTAGCCATGATGTAGAGCATATACCAACCGGCGGATGTGGATCCAGATTGCGAGGTGACTTCAGGGCTATGATAGAAACCCCATGCTGGACTGTCTAGGTGATGATGAAATATCGAGTTGGGAGTATAACTTCCCAGGAAGAAGCCATTCTCACCCACATGAATTTCTACGGCGTCTGTTACATGCTGTTAATAGTGTGGCAACTTAATAGGGCCTCCTAGAAGGAAAGGGCATGTCACGATGACAGACGGCAGAAGCTAAAGATGTTAGCAAAAGTAAACCCGTTACTCGTGGTTATTACGAATCCGTAAAAGAAATGGATCGTATGGACGTTGGCGTGAATAACTGAGCTGCTGAGGTCTTAAACGTCTCTTGCTCGCGCGCTAGTGTTTTAGGTATACCGAGCCTAAAATATAGATGCGGTGGTGTGCGAAGTAGAGCTATTCATGATCCAATTTCTATAATAAATATAAGAAGCACTTTTGAGTGCTTAAGCTATCAATTAATATGCATCGACTTCAATAGATAGGTAACTACCTACATAAGCTGACCATAATCTATTTTTAGCACTTCTGGAACTAGGTACATGTACAGTATGTCGTTAGGTAGATTGGGTACCCATGTATATGTACAAACACCTACTAGGACGTTCATCAGCGGGCACCTGCACACATTAAAATATGCACCTACCCGCTAATTTACCTGAAGTTAAGGTGTGATGGCAGGAGCGCCGCTTATTGATAGCCGTTGAACCTTGTCTAGATTCTGGAACACTTCGGATATCGTCTCTTTAATACCAACTTAAAACTTACATACTTCCATACACACTTACCTCACATATATATGTAAATACTAAAAGAAATCCACGACAACTCAACAAATGTACGCATGACGGGAAGTCGTCATGTGTTCGCAGCGAGTATGCATTGGCTAATTCGAGTGTTTCGGAGCTTCTGAATGACCTAATTGCTGTCCTCTCTGATTGGAAGCAACGTGCCTAAGTCAGATCTCGTCGCGGGCGATTCGGAGTTATTGGCCGCCTCTCGCATACCCCAGATAAACCTCCCCAGCCAAATGGCTTCTCCAGGCGCGACCGCCGTCCCGGCACCTACGTTCCTTGATAATTCAAGCATCTGGCATAATTTCACTTCTTGGACGGCCCAGCACCTCAGGTATTCCGTCAATAACGTAACCAGATTCGCACCGTCGCTTGAGGACCTGATTCTTGCTGGGCCTAGGATGTTGACCAAGCTTGGCATCATATCCTTTCCCGATGCTGTTGACGGCTTTGGGCAACGAGTCATTGCCGACCCAACGACATCCGACTTTTTTTTCCCGACGACTACCGCCGCCCATATGCTTACCCAAGCTTCCGAAGCTGCCGCTAATGTAGCAGAAGTATTAGACAACGAAGATCAGGACCCCGCTGTATTGGTCTCCAAGTTCTCCGCCGATGGAACGAAGGGTTTAGGTAGCGTCTTTAGCTATGCTACCAGCAAGTGGGCGCTCTGCTGTATTGCGATGGTCTGTTTCCCTCCGATTTTGACGTTGAAGCGATTTCTGACGTCTAGCACTGTTGCAGGCTATCATATTGAACCGTACACACATATTTGCAGCTTCGCGAAGAAGGTTGTATTTGACATGGCCCGTACGACTCTTTCTCCGCTTCCTACCTATCATTCTCTTCGCATACCAAGCTCGGCAACTCCTACAGTCCATCCAGTGCCAAACCTCGCCCGATTTCGCCGAGATGCGTTGGGGTAACGCCAGCAAGACATCAGATCTCATGTTCGCACAACCCTCTACATATTTACATGGGCTCAGTACAGTCCTCCTTTTGGGCGCTACCGACTATGACAGCTGCCGCGCTGTTGAAATGGTTCCTCCAAGCAATCACGATTATTCAAATGAGCTACATGGCTCCTTGTCTCTACTGTGGCCCCTTTTCGGGACTCTGTGCCTAAGTCATTTCCTAGAGACGATTTCATGCGCAGTGCAAGGACGTCAAGTGGCTGTCGAGACCGGCATGACCCTTTTCGAGCACTCACTGGCGTTTGCCGAGGCCGACGCCGCTATTAGCAACCAACTCGGTTGGGGTTTATTTTCAAGTGGTAGTAGTTCCAATGTGACGTTCCAACAGGCTTCAGGGGCCAGCATCGCCGTCTCCAGATCCATGATAATGAAGAGGGTCAACACCCCCCCCGAAGTCCTTCTGGTGGCTTTCCTCTCTGCCATGAGCCATATTACTAGCCACGTTCTAGGTGTCTTTAATTTACAGAGTCGGTACCGATTAGTTAGTACGGGGTTTTGGGCTATCTGCTTTATGGGAAGCATCGTGATAGAAGCTTTAGATTTCTCTGTCGACAGCCCATCTACCATGGGTCTTTTTAGGTTTCCTACGGTCTGTATTATAGGTTTTATCCCCCATCTTCTGGTATTTACTGGTACGCTCGTGTGCCTGGCTATATATGCTGTTGCTTTGGTCCTTTCGGCGATGCAGCCCCCAGATCGGTGGAACGTCAATGGACGGGTCTTGACGTTCCGAGAACGATTAGCACACGCGCATGAGAATATGCAAGCGAATATTTCGCTCTCCGATATTCGGATTTCACGAGAAATGGACTTCTATACGGCGCTGCTTCGAACAGGTTTTAGTGTCATCACGATGGCGAGTGAAGCCGTCTATCTAAACGAAGACCGGGGCATCAACTTGAAAAACCGTACGTGGCTCGAAGAAGAAAGGCTGAGGGAGCTCGAGTCTATACGCATGCAATGGGCCGGATCAGGTCTGGGTGCTTCCCGATACGATTCTGTCGGAGCTATCGGATTGGTGCCAATCAAGGACGGGCAGCTTGGAGCGTCAAGTGGATACGCACGAGAACGGGCAGCTCAGACAATTCCCAAAACGCGCATCGGAGAAAAACGTGCTAGGGATGGAGTTGGGGCTACTGAGCGTAGCTCGCGTTGGCTTCTAGCCTTGGAATTCATCATGAACATCAACAGGCTTCTGCTGCGATGGGGCGCGGTGCTTCTTCTGAAAGCTCTAACGCGTCTTGGGATCACAACCCGACCTCGTATCTTAGTCTGGCTTTCTCGCTGGCCGAAACAGGATAATAAGGACGAGAGAAAACCCCCTGCAGAAGCGCATTCACTGCTGCTGGGCCGAAATAGGAGGAGCAATAGGCTCTATAATGACGAGACCGCCGACGTGGAGGCCGAAGTACGAAGACGTCTTAGGATGGCCCCTGAGACGGCTAACATGCCGGATGAGGAACTAGACACAAGATTATACAACTCATGGAAGCATGGTGATTTATGGGGATCTGTGGATACGAGCGGCGATTGGGAGCCGGATGAAAACGACGGTGATTGGGATACGACGAGCATGATACATAGTGTCGCTGGCGATGAAGATGAGCAGGGCCAGTGGGTTGATGAGGATGAATTCGAGGAAAACGACGGCCAGAGGACGCCCACACAAGCATCTCAGCACTTCTCGCTCTCCCGGGAGACAACTCCTTTTGACCAGCCCTTAGCCATAGGCGATCTTGCCAGGTTGCTTCATCCCAGAAGCCCAGAGGAGCGTCGCGAAGCCCATGCCCTTGCCGCCCACCTAAGCAGTGATCAGATTATCACGCGCTCTAAGTACGCGCGCATGCAGCAAAATCAGCGGGGGCGCCTCTTCTTCCCACAGCGGCCTAGTAAAGGCAAGCTCTCGGACGAGGAGGAGGCCGAGCTCCTCGAGGACTTGATCATTACGAGGCGGACCGAAGCCGCCCGTGAAAGTGAGCTGCAAGATGGCAACAACAGTGACGACGGTAGGGGCGGGCCTCAGTGCGTTGTATGCCACTCATCCCCCCGCAAAATCATTGTGTGGCCATGTCGCTGTCTCAGCCTCTGTGACGAGTGCCGCGTCACCTTGGCAATGAACAACTTCGACAAGTGTGTCTGCTGCCGTAGGGAAGTCGTCAGCTTTAGCCGCATATACGTACCCTGACGACTGAGCTGCCCGAATTACCTTCTCCAAGCTTTAGCCAAGGTGGATTCTTTGTCTGCGAAAGTCCTTCCGCATCCGTCATTCAACAATCAGCATTATTCAGCATTGTCTTCCAATGAAAGATTACCTTACTTCAAAAACCGCACGGCAACTCATTAGAACTAGCATCGATGCGAACTTGACCTTTGAAATCTTTCTGTCCAATCAGCTCCCTATGATGCTCCGCATTCATTGGCTCCAAGATGTCGGATTAGGATAGCGATAAGGTTGAGGAACGTGACGGAGATGAATATGAAGCGATAAGGGAAACCATGTTGTAGCAAAGGGGCACAGCAGCTAGACGGTGTGATTTCTGTGTTTTGGCATTTTTTTTTATTCATTATATGCTCGGAGTTCTGGTCTGATTAGGGGGCTCATGGGTGTGGTATGCATTAGGTACATAGTTATACTAGGTAGCCGGTTTTAGGTACTCATTCCAATTCTACAAATATAATCTGAAAAGGGTTGCTGCATTCACGTCAAGAATTCCTCGATGTTTATGTAGAATACGTCAATATTGCCCTTTTAATAAGATCGTAGATGTTATAAACAACTACGGACTGGTGACTGCGGCAGCATCCTGCCTACATTTAGGTACATATCTACATAGCCGCCCATTCTATACAGAAAGCCCTGGCTCGCGGAGCCTTGGGATTTTCATCTATCCCCTCTCTCTTCGTCTGATGCTCATCCGTATCATCACCTACCACAGCCCCACCAATCAGATACCCCTTCTTGACATTCGTACCCAGTCGTCCGCCGGCCACAAGATCAAGGACAGCAATCTCCTCTTCCCAGCCGTAACTGGCGGCCTGAAAGTGGCTGTGGAAACGTAGGGGGTCGCCTGGGTACACGTTGTAATCGCAGCCGAAGCGCAGGCCAGGCATCATGTAGTAACCGCGGTCCTGAAGGTGCGCGTATAGCGGGTACGAGGGCGGGACGTTGACGGAGGCGGAGAAGGGGAAGAGTCCTTCGGGAGGAGCAAGGGGAGGGGAAGGGGGGAGGATAAGGCTGCTTGTTGTGGGTGTTATTGCGAAGGCGGGGTGGTCTTCTGCTTGGGAGAGTTGGGAGTGGGAGGGGACGCCACTTGACGGTGGCGGAGAGGAGGGGCTGAAGAGACTTGTGCTAGTCTCATCGTCTGCTTCGAGGCTTGCTTCGTTTTCTGAAGTCTTTGGCTTTGCTTTTTCTTTCTTAGTAGTAGTAGTAGTAGTCACTTTTGGCTTCGCGCTCAGCTTGCTCTCCGCAGCCGCCATCTGCGCCTTCCTGCCCTCAGCTTTGACAGACTGCAGGTATCTCCTGCGCGCGTCGTCATCTAGAGTAGCGAGGCGGGCGGGATGAAACGCGGCGTCGTCTACAATGTATGCTACGTTCTTGTCGACGAGGATCTGGGCCTCCTCAGGCATCAGCTCGATAGGCAAGCCCATAAAGATGTTCTGCTGGGGATTCTGGGGAATCGTCCCGACGAACACGGAGCAGATGTTGTGGTTCTTGCGCAGGTGCATCACGTCATCTATGTCGAAGAGTAGGTACCTCCCCGCGACCTTTGATATCCTCACGGGAGGCCGGCTTATGGTGGAAGAAGCCATCTCCACAGAGGGCAGTGATATCTGTTTGCTTGAGAGTCAGCGTTGGTACTGATAAAGCTTGTCATATGCAATGTAGAATAATTTGGGTGATCATATTTTTCCAGATAGAAGGTTGTCAACATTATTATTTCAGTGGATTGACAGATTATGAATTGTTGTAATCATTTCGATAGAGTGTTTTGAGAAAAACGGAATTATCGACTTACCTGTTGTGATTGTTGAAGATTGAAAAAAAAAAACTAAAAGCTTTTTTTTTCGAATTTGGAGAAGTCGATGAAAATTTGGAGAGTTCCAAGTGGGGTATATACAGTGCGTAATATCATGTTTACGGTTTCGCACTGTAGTGGCTCAATCCGATAGCAGCTATTCACCTTAGACGTATAGAGGAATTTTCAGAAATCCATGCTTCCTTTGCTAGAATCTCCTTTCTTCTTTTCCTCTTCGTCTTCCCCAACAGGAGGCAAGTAGAACGGTTTTATCACAAAACCCTTAGATCGACTCAAGCTAAACGACAGATCCCCGTGAGCAGCATAGCCCTCAGAAGAGCCCCCGCCTTTTTCGTGGAAAATCGGTAGACTATGGACTTTGAGAAGACCCTGCGTCTGCTCCTCGGATTTGGAATCGGACTTTGAAGACGGAGGAGGAGCGTGCACGGCGTTGGACTGGAGTGGGACAAGTTCGAAAACACCATCGGATAATAACTCCATCCAACGTGTAAGTCCCGTAGTCCTAGGGTAAAGTGATAGCGGTAAAGTTATAATAGCCGTGAGCTTTCCTGGGTACTGCCTTAACAACGCTCTAAGCGCGTGTAAAAACTGCAAGACCTCTTCGGGCCGAGCAGACGAGCCAGCGTACCCCGTCGGGGATAAGAGACTCGGTACTATGACACGATGGACCCACGATGGCGGCGAATTCGCTAGCTTGTGAGCTACGTTCTTGATGAACATCTTGAAAGGCGATGTTGAATCTTTTGTGTGGGAAGGCAGATCCGGTATGCTCATCGAGGGGTGAAAGCCAATTTGACCCTTGACGTTAGTGGGACTAAGTCTTTTGGTAAGATCGAAAGAATGGCAGAAAATAGAAGTAGATTCAGTCGCAGAATTACTTCGCTTCTGAGCCGCATTTCTATCCCTCGGGGCTCCCCCAGACGACAAGCTTTCGTATCTCCAAGCTATCTTCATCTTGTCATCTGAGGGAGTCTCCGACTTGCTTGATGATTTCTTGTCTTCGGTTGAAAGACCCGGGAGCTCGTAGCGCCAACTTTCATGTAAGCCGAGGACATGGATTTGATGACCCTGAATCATACCCTCGGCGGCATAGTAACGGAGAAGTACGCCAGCGAAGTCGGTAGTACCATGCTCTCCGATAAGAAGTGATGTGCCTAGGGGTAAGCCAGCATGTCCAGCAAGTAGACTGTCTAGAGATGCGGTTCCAGTGGAAGTAGTTGGTCGACCATCGACAAGAGACGGTCGAACTCCAGGAATAGATACATTTTCAGTCTTTGATGGGGTTGACTGAGATGAAATTGAGCTGCTAATCACAGCATTTCTTTTCCTGAAGGACATGGCCACGGCATCAGGTTCGTAAGATTCCCCAATTATGTATCAAGTTATTAAGTCGAGGTAATGAGAAAAAATGGTGTAGATTATTGGTATATGCATTTGGGCTTCGATTCGAGAAAAATAAGCTAGGCAGCTTATCTCCAATTTCAGTTAGGTTAGGAAGTATTTTCTGCGGTTTCTGAACCTTTTTCGGTGAATATGTACATATCCCATAGTTTCGTGCGTCACAAAAATGTTACTAGGTTAGGTACGTCACACAATCTTTACTAATCCCTTGGAAAGATTAGCTTTTACATTAGGTACATACAGTAGTTCTTAGCAGAGCCGCAAAAGTCCCCTGTAAATACAAGGCTTCACCGCTTTCAGTGGACACCCCGCATCAACGGCGGAATTCCGCTTAGAGCTTCCATTGGGAAAAAGAAAAAAAGCAGCCGCGCCAAAAACTCGATACTTCCGCATTATCTTAATATTCAACACGACACAGCATTCTTCCCATCTCCCAACCCGACACGCCGCCACATTCATTCCACAAATCCATCTAGAAGTCAATTGTCCACCCTAAAGCAAACCAAAACAAAACCTCCCTCAAAATGTCGAACCTCGCAGCAGGCGACGCGCAGCTCTTCGAAGACACCTTCACGGTAACGACCTACGACCAATCCAAATATGACCGCGTGGCGCGTATCGGCGGCACGTCCACCGACAACCTGACGACGATGCAGCTCGACATCAACATCGAGTTGTTTCCCCTTCGCGTCGGCAGCAACATCGAGGTTGTATTGGCTACTAGCCTGTCGCTCGATGGTACTAAAGACGAGGAGGAAGAGAAAGGATGGCGTCACGTTCGCAACGAGTCTTCCCTTGCGGACATGTACGACTACGTGTGCCATGGCAAGATCTACAAGTTTGAGGATGGTGTTGATGGTCAGACTATGTATGCGACTTCTCTTACCTTGCTATTTCCGTTTCCTTTTCCCTTCGTTATTCCCTTTTAATCTTCATATTTTCTGCTTATCCCGGGCAGCACTAACGTGGCCGTAGTCGCGCGTACATCTCGTTTGGCGGGTTATTAATGATGCTAGAGGGACCCTATAAGAAGTTAACGCCGTTGCGTGTCGACAACACCTACCTTCTAGTTAAGAAATGATCTACTATTACACAGCACTCTTTACTCGCCCATTGGCGAGACCACGGCTGATTCACGAGTTAATGGGAGTTATAATCCAAAGGCCAAAGTGTAGAGAGGATGGTTATTGCATATTGCAGCTACGCTTGAGATACCAATGAACGCTTATTGCGGCCAAATCATGAACTAGAGCTATTCTACTAGTAAGTCGTGGTCAACGACACCTGGATCGCTAGTGGGATATTCAAAAGGGGAAAGGCAACTGAGAGCATTGTTATGTGGTCGATGGACCAACTTGATGGGGACCCGGGAAAGGTAGTTTGCGATGTAACCGGCTCACTATCTCGTCATAGTTGGGCTCGTTCTCTGGTGTCAGGATCTTGTGGCGGATGAAGAAATCGATTAGGATGAGGGCACAGTTAGGCTTGAACTTCCTCTGACCAAGTTTCTCTCGCACTTCTTCCACCGTCCACAAGTAAAAGCCCGCCACCTCGCCATCCTTGGGCGTAGGAACAAAGTCTGCAGGTAGCTCGATATCGTAGACCCACTGGGTCTCGGGATAAATCTGACCAGCCTCACCGCCTGCTCGTACGTCTGTGATGTAGATGTACGTGACCATGCCGGTGAATTTAGCTCGCTCGCGCATGATCGTTTCCGGTAGATCAGCTTCCTCGTCCGCCTCTCGGATTATACATTCAAAGGGGTCTTCCCCAGTCATAAGACCGCCCGCCACGGAGTTGTCTAGCATGCTGGGATACGTAGACTTGTTAGCTGCTCGTTGAGCCACCAATATCTTCATGCCGTAGCTCGCCGTATCGTCCTTGACGAAGGCCGTCATATGCACCCCGTAACGCATGATTCCTAGCAGGCCTGTTCCACTGCGCTCAGCGCTGTACAGGACCTCATCATTGCTGCCGTAGACGGGCCATAGTTCGTTCCGCCAGCCCCTTAATATATCATATGTATGATTTTCCCGCCAATACTGCATTAAGCGAGCCACAAGCGCAGTTCTTTCGGCTTCAGTTGGTAGCTCGAAAGCACGCACCGTGCGTTTGGCTTCATCTACAGTTACGGGTCCGCGGATTTCTTCCGGTGTGGCGAGGAGTTCTGTAACGACGGAATCAAGCATATAGCCAAGAGGCTGCCCATCCTTCCAGACCAGCGTGTATAGCGTGTCAGTGAGAGCCTTGTACGCTTGAGGTTCCTTGTCTGGGTAAGGAAAGCTACGCTCTCGCAAACTGTTTAGTTTTTGTCTGCCACTCTTATATGAGAAAGGGTTTAACTTACGCATCAGCCTCCTTCATGATATCGAGGTTACTTATTAAACACGGCATTTCGGTTAATGCGTTAGGAGTGAGCTGAGAGCCCCTTAACTTCCTCAGCGTCTGGTGTATACTTGATACGGATGAAGCAGAGCTGTAAGCCCTATGAGAAATAAGTGAAGGTTTCGTCGTTAAGATAGAATTGACCCAAATATCGGAATCCTCAAGTTTGTAGGTACTGTTGTGAAATTGTAGTGGGAAGTGTATTTTTCTGTTCTGCTGGAAAAGATAGCAATGATTCGCTCGGGGTCTTTTTATAAGAGGTTCAAGTTGTAGATGATATCCAAATTTCTTTGCTGTAAATTTGCTTGCTGCCTGGTGCCTCCAAAGACTATTATGAGGTAGACATCTTGACATGTCTTTAAAGATTTCGATATTAGACTAAATGAGTGAGATCCAATAGCGTTGTCTCTTTTGTGGAAGTACATGTACCTACTTCACTATCTGCATGTTCCTGCCTCATAGACAAGTAACAAACTTCTTCGATGTTACAGGTCTCAGGCTGCAGGCGCATTCTAGATTAGGTACATTAGGAGGTACCTATATGTACCGGATGCGGATGCAATATGCGCATTTTGCATAGGCAAGTCTTAGCGCATCTCTGCCCCTCCACACCACATGTTGATGCTATGACGTTGAAATTTATTTAGCAGGTACCCAAGTATCTTTTTGAAGCTTCCAGCATCCTATCCCGAATTCTTCTCCCTTCGCTTCCTCCATGTCACAGACGATTTCACCGCTAGGTGGTTGAACCCTCCTAGGGTCCCGGATCAAAGACGTAACGGAACATCTTTCCCAAGTCATCTTAGGCACCAATTGATCGCCATTTAGCCGCAAACAAACAAACAATCGTTAGAGATCAAAAATACCTAGAGGTCGAATTAGAAGGAAGGAAGGGAAACACACAATGGCGCAACAGCCAAACCAGCCGCTCTTCGGCATCATCCCAGCCGGACAGCCGCTTATTACCGTACCGTCCTCCCAACCTAGCCCCACGTCATTCCTATACGCGATCCCGCATCCCGCGCCCTCGCCCGCGAACCCCACCCCCAAACCCTTCTCCCACCTCACCGTCTTCCTGCTCCCTGGCGTCGCCCTCCCCGACGGCACCGCCGCCGCTATCTACGTCGCGCTGAACCCGACCGCCCTAGCTAGCGGGCAAGAGGAGCCCAACTTCAAGTTCCTGGGGGGCGTGGGGCCCGGCAAGGAGAGTGCCGTGTTCAAGCTCTCTCCACCTTCTTCTGCTCCTAACCCCGAGGGCGTGATAATCGGGATCAACGTGGAGGACGCAGCATCCGTAGCCGAGCGCATTCAACAGCTGCACGCGACCAACTCCAGCGGTAACACGACGCAACAACAGCAGCAGCAGCAGCAGCAGCCGTCGACGCAGGTCTTAGCCCAGCGCATAATAAAGAACGCATTCAACTTCCTGGCCGGGTTTAGCGGCAAGGTGGGCGCCGAAGGCGTCGAGGTCGTGCCTCTAAAGGCCTTCCAAGAGTGGTGGCGCAAGTTCGAGAACAAGGTCCGGAACGACCCTACGTTTCTCGAGAGGGAGCAGGATTAACGGTAGGAGTTGTCGGGCCGGTTACCTACCTCAGTCAAGATCCCGGGGGAGAAAGTGTTCTCCTCGAAGTGGAGATTTGGATACTACGTATATTGTATAGTAGAGAAACAGGGGAGATGGGGAGAAAGGGGGGAAAGGGCAGCAGACATCTACTCCTGTTGGCTGTTATAATATTCACCTCCTGTGAGCAGCAAGCTGGTCTAAGATGTTGAAAATAAAAGGTTGGATGTTCCTTAATAGAGAAGGACGAGACTACGGTCACCTCTGAGCTATAGTCGGACGATATTGGAATAGATAAAAGTTATTGTATATCTACCTGATATGGGACATCTAAGGTCTCATAGGCCTTCAATTTACTACGCATCCATTTCACGCTAGATACCACTTCACCAGTCATATAAGATCAACTATATATATATCAATTGCGTGACCACGCGTGGCCGCCAGTACAGCTAGCCATGTATGAATATTTGATAGCTACGTCCCCGTATGCAACAACAAACGTACCGAGCTATGAAGGTATCTACTAAGAATCCAATATGCTTTCACTCGTCAACCCATATATCGAGGCCCGTCTCAGGCATAATACATAAAATCCGTCACTGCCGGAACTCCTTTCCCATGTAACCCTGTCTTGGGTAACTCCAAACCTGTAGCCCTACAAGGAGCGTGCCGCCTGGACAATGCAAGGTGATTGCCCAGTAAGGGTAATAATAGAATATACAGTTTATCAATCCTCCGTCAAGGGGCTCATTAATGGACTCTTAAGCCTCGTGGGACTGCCCGCTCGACTCCTCCGTCCAGCTGTTAACATTTGCGGAAACAGTCTCTCGCGACTTTCTGTTCGGACCACCAACCCGGACCGATCAAGCGCACTTCCGGGATGCTGGTGCTTTTTAATATCGTCAAAAGATTCGACATTCAGTTTTGGGGTAGCCAAGCCTGACGATCGACCGACTCTTGATCTTCCCCCGCTACTATCGGAATTATCACCTTCATCCGACGAAGCTTCGCCCAGTTCGAACTGACTGGCGTCACCTTCTTCCAGAACCCTTTCATAGTTATATGATCCACGACCAAATAGTTTGTGTGAGATAGCCGACAGACCGAGGCTAAGTTTTCGAGGGCTGCCTGGGCGGCGTCGGCGGCGTAGTACCTTGTTAACTTTACCATAAAGCCGCATCCGCCTATCTCGCTTCCGAAGCAGAAAAGCGATAAATAAGAAGATCAGTAGGAAGAAGAAGAGTCCAGATGTCGACTTCGATTTCGCATGGTCTATCAGATCTTCCGCCGTATCGCCCCAATCATCCTCATCGTCGATTGCCGAGGACACATTAAAACTGGATCCAGCGTATTGGAAATCTGAAGGGATACCTTTTACGTTACTCCCGAATCCCACAGGGTGACGATAGTTGTCCTTGGGTGGAATCTGACCGGCCGCGTAGAGCACCATCTTTCCTAACGTCCAGCTGATCTCGATGTTATTAACTTCGTCAGCGGCTTGGAAGGGGTGTAAAAATCCCTTCTCCTTAGCAGCCTCTCCGATTGCTTTCGTGACGTTGATCCCTGGAGTTGGTGTATTCTCTATGCCATATCTCGGTATGCCAATACCCTCATGCAATACACTGATAAGCCATGATGCCTTGAAGCAGGCTTCCTGGGCTTCCTTTCCGTGATCCTTCTTTCGCGCTTCGATATTCGACTCGATTTCTTCCCAATGCTGACTGCAAAATTCCACTACCTTCTTCTGATATGTGTTGAAATCGTAGGCCGTATCATCGTCTTTATTTCTAAACACGCCATGTGTGGTATGCCAGTATTCAGAAACTCCAACGAAGTGATTGACATCGAAATCAATAGGTGGGACGTGCTGGCCGTTAAATAAGCATGGCTTGTCTTCGCACGGCAAGTCTTTACCCAATAGCGGCTTCGTTCTCCGTAAACACTCGTCGAATCCACCCGTACCAACTAATTCCAGCTCTTTCGAATTCCCCCTGATGACCTCACCCTTTTCGTTGGTTCGTAGTCCTCTTGGTAGACAAGGATCGGGCACCTCGTGCTCCCCATCGATTAAAAATTCGTCGACCAAGGCTTTGACGTAGCGCTCGCGAGCCTGGTTGACTCCAAAGCCAAGCCATGTTGACGTAAACACCTTGTATTCCTTGGGCTCGCCATTTAAGCTTCTCATTCGCAGTAACTTAAGATCGTTCCCGTGTTCTTCGGCTACAGTGGCATTTGGCGCAAAAGCGATCTGCGCCGAAGCGCCACCCATGTCTAGGAAACCATAAGTATGGTGATTCTTTCCATGAGCATGCCCATCAGGATCGTCGAAACCTCCTAGAAGATAATTGGCTGCTATCCATCCATATAAACCTTCAGTCTCGCCGGGGATGACCTGAATGTGCGTATCGCAGTCGGGGAGAGAGAATCGCGTGTTGGCGCGGAAATACGAGCAAGTCTCGGTTATGACCGCTCTTTGTTGAGTAGGAGGCAATAATCGCATGCCAGCGGTGGCCATGAGGAATATCGGGGTATCGGCATGTTTATCGTCGGGGATGACGTCCAGTGCCCGCTCAACCAGTTGCTGCAGGTGATCAGGTCCGACGTCTTCTGGATGGTCGCCAAAGGTTGAGATTCCCGGTCTAATCTTTTTTGTCCATTTATCTTTGGTTACGATATTCGGCAAACTATGTAATTCTTGATAGGATGCTTCCCTGAGTGCTTTTGCAGGATCTAGCCACCGATATATATGCAGACGCGTTCCAGAGGAACCGGCGTCTAGAATGATACCCCATCTCCCTAATTTGTAGCAACTGTCGTCAGCAATGTTGCGAAATGGACTTTGTGACGGTTTAGAAGGGAGGCTTACATCTCTTCCCCATGACGGTGGAACTGAGGGAAGCAAAAAGGTAGGCTCAAGACAAAATGGGGGTATATGCGCGATTGGTTGCGATGTTTGTTGTCTTGTTGGAAGTTATAGAGTGTCAATATATCGCAGCATGTCCTTAATATGCCTCGCTACGTGTGCGACGAAGAGCGCGAAGCTGATGATATGATTATAGTGTGGCGTGGGATGACTGGTTTCAAGGTTCGTTTCAATTACGCGTTCTGGATTCTGCGTCAAAAAGCATAGGAGGTAAAGGTGGTAGCTGATTAGGTTAAGGGGGTGCGGGTTCAGCAAGATGCGATGCGATACAAGATACAGGATACAGGGTTTATGATAGCGATAGTGAAAGAAGAGAAATGAGGAACAGTTTCGGATAGGTAACGAGTGAGAATAAGACGCTAGCTAGTAGATGAATAGGTGAATACCGTAGGTGCGCAAAGTCTATTTATCGATTTGTTTGAAGTTTTGAACGAAAGGCAACCTTTAGATAAGGTGGTGGATTGTTTGGATTATTTGGGAAGAACTTTGGGTGGACTTGGATGAACAGATTGTGCAATATCTCTGGGACAAACCATGGAAAAGAAGGTTTCTTAACTGGAAATAAGCCTGCAGCAGCCAAGGAGCCCAGAAACGGAGACGAGATACTGGGGCATAGGCTGGAACTAAATGTTGGTTCGATTTCTTTTTTTGGATTGGGATGATGGGGCTGCTTATGCCAGCGGACCAATACAAATGCTTTGTTGTAATCGTAATCAGTGCTACTACGATATGTGGTGACTGCAAAGTATCTTGAAAGTATCATCTGCAGTTATCATGCAGAGTCCACCGAGACTTCCTCCAATCTAATCCATTAAACCCAGCAACGATTGCAACACGTGCTGAATACATGGGCACATATGCACGAAAGAAGCATTAGTTCGAACTCAACCTTATCAAACATAGCATGATACATGTAACATGTATCGAGTTAAACCGAGTAATCCGTCCATAACAATCAATTTAACTATGTCATTTCTTCATAACATTTACCCTTGCACATATCAATAAGTATTATGTGTAGGTATCCCTTTATATTGGTAACGCATCTTACTGCTTTTTAGTCGAGAACTGTCTTATATCTATCGCATATATTCGTACATAGCCATTGCTATTTACCATGACTACATCATCTTGCCACATTTATTATAAAAATAGCATAATTAACGTATCGTTACTATGGATACGAACAGAACAGCCCAGACATTTCCCCAAACATGTCGAATTCCAGCCCGTGACGATGTTCGCAGCAAAAAACCGGTCCGAATACATATCTAAAGTCCTTACAGATAAGATACGTTGGTAATACTTGATAGGTACCCGCTATGAAATTCGTAACATCATGTAGCTTATGTAGCACGGCACCATCCTGTTAGTAAGGTACCTGCTATCTGCAATAAAGAGCGTCGCAAGCCACAAGTCGCTGTTGGCGGCCCGCCCTACGTAACCTTTCCTTTCAGTTCAAGGTTTCTAGCGTAAATGTTCATGCAACCAATCCCTGTCCATCTCGCCGTGTCTTTTCTCTCTCAACCAAGAGTTGCAGCAAATTACTTCCACGAGAGGGATATTTACCTAAACTACAATATACACCAGTCATTCGAGACAGGACATCTATAACTGACGTAACTGTTCCGTTCGTCACTTGATAGTGGTGTCCTTGCCTCCGGATCTACTCCTGCTAGTCCCGGCAATGATCTTCTAGATACGGGTCTGGTATGCGGTCACTGCACGTATCCGGACTACAGCGTCTCGCATATCCTACGGACTACCGTCTCAGATAAAAGACTACCTACCCTTGATAGGTCTGACAGGCAAAAGGCCCTCTCCCACACGCCCGCGGTTGGTTCAATATTGCTGCAACATCTAATAGTTAATACATGTAGTGACCACAGAGATAAAAGCCCACAAAGCTCGGTTTATATGCGCGCATCAATTTTTAGCTGAGAGGAATGCTGCAGCTACTTGGTACTACCAAATATTGAATTGAGCCATTTCAGCCATTGGCTAATATGTAACGTCGAGGAAGCTTAGCCGTAGCCATGTATTTCGTGATACTCCATTGGGTATTGCGACAGCCCAACAGCTGAGTTCTGATTAATAATTAATAAGGTGGTTTAGAATGCTTGATACTACCTACCGAGGAATGCAAGTTTAATCACTTATCAATTGAGCCACGCATTATAAAGTAGGAGGACCTCTAGCCCTAGAGCTCCAGCTTATTATCTATAAACAACCTTGGGGGCTTCATTGACTGAAAGCTACCCAAGTAAATCCAGACGAGCCCAAACATACTTATCTTTAGGAGAGTACTACAAAGACGGTTACAATATTGCGTATCAATATTGGGTAGTTATAGCTACGATTTCTAATACTGAGCAAGTTACATAATTATATATAAGTCGTAAACCGGTGAATACGACAAGCCATTCAACGCACTAAAGCCTAGCCGGTGAACATATCTAAGCGCTCT